ATTCAGGGCATGTCAAATCCACTCTATTACATCTGTTCATGTTGCAACTAAAGCAAACTGCTTGTAAAGTAACACAGAACAGATGAACTTCAATGAGTCCCAGACAGGAAGTGTGACATTAGGTGCATAATTAATGTGTGGTATCATCCACAGGGTAAGATTAGACTGTGCCTACAGCATGATCAGCTTACCAATGGGCATGTATATGGAATGAGCAGACAAAACAATCAATGAGTTGACAGTGGACCTGATGCAGCCCATGATGTCAGCCCACCTACCCTGCCAGCCAAAAAATGAACAAATCACACTTTCTTTTTAACCCTACATGCCTGGATTCTGCAGAAAATATTGCACAGTTTTGATATCCCAGCCCCTGCCGAAGCATCAGGGAGTCACACGGCTGTAGGTGCAGACCACCCCCAGACACAGCCTCCAAACTGCTGGCAAAATGAAGGATAATTATGCTGCATGCTATGACCACAGCAAGAATAGATAGATCAAAATATAATGCAATGCACCCCTAACCCTGCTCCTGTGGTTGACCCCACAGCGGGCCCCGCGGCACCCCCTGTGGCACCCCCTGCGGCACCCCCCGCCAAATGATGGGATCAAGTGCATCACCAGTCCCATTGTGCAGGGTGCATTTTGGGCTTTCCAAGCTCAAATTCATGCTTAAGTGGTGTATTTACCTATAGAAATGATACCAGAATGATTTGGGAAGGCTTCCATTTTTTGGGCGGAAAATCACGTGATTATGCGCCCATTGTCTGCCACAGCATGCAATGGATCAAGCAACACCTTCGAAATCATGCTGAATGGTGCACAAAAGGTGCCCCAAAAGTCACGTGATAATGCGCCCACTGCCCGCCATGGTGTGCGGGGGGACAGTAGCGCCCCCCGCCAACCCCCGCCAACCCCTGCTAGCCATCTTTGATAATTTTCATGCGGTGCATCATGTGATTTTTTTACCCCGCCATCAGCCGCCATCCCGCCCATTGGATGTGTCATGTGATTCATTTTTTTTTCGCGCCCACCTGCCCGCTCCCAATGATAAATCACATGATATGTACAGACCCCCCCCCCCCCCCCCCCTGCACCCCCCCTGCTGATCCCCGCATATGCCCCTGCCCCAAATGGACCAAATCCCCCCGCGGGCCCCGCAGGGGGGTACCCAGTAGGACCCCCGCGGGGGTGCAACCGGGTGATGGCGGTGGTAACTGAGGTGCCCAACCCCTGACCGGATCACTGGAAGAACGAATTGACCACATCGCTCTCAGCATCGATGCTGTCCATAAAGACGACGGGGAATGCTCAACCATGGCAGTGTACATGGACCCCTGGTTTGGATCAGAAAACGAGCAACTCAAACTCAGGGAACTCTTGAGACAAGAAGAATACATCGCGGGCGCCATCCGATACAAACCAAACGTAGACATATACGACAGCTCAATCAAAAGTTGTGTCATATGCAAACTCGACGACCACCCCTCGCGCATGTGCCCGTTCACAGCGGCAAAATGGTGGGGCCTGCCGGACCAACTCTCACGTCTCCCCCTAGACCACCCGCTTGCCTCCAAAGCGACCAAGTGTAACGACCGCAACAACCACAGAGGTGGGGGGTCACACCAAGGAAACCCCCGAGGACGAGGCGGAGGAAACACCCAGGACCGTGGCCATGGTCGTGGCAGACGCACATAGTCTCGTAGAAATGAATACCCACATAGAACTGCATGCCAAAACCCCCTTACTTACAAAATACCATCGTGCTCATCATGATGCCCTACCCTCACACACATCCCGCGAGCAGCACCACAGTAAGAACTAAGGGCACCCTCCCCGAGTCTGGGCTTGGAAGAAGCCGCTCTCGGAATAGTGCAACCGAAGAGCGCAACCCGACCCCGCCAAATTTACCGACTGTACCTTCAAGGCACAGGACGGGAAACGGGGAAGGGAACGCGTGTCCTACGGGTGGCGCCAGGTGCAAGCACCGAGGCCACCCGGAAGACACGCCGCACTGGCAGGACCTATTTAGGTCGGAGTCCGCCTGCCAGCAGCCCTGGTATGCAGAGAGTAAATCGCTACACACCCACACTGTGAAACGACGCACCCTCTAGCAACTCCAAACTCAAGACATAACGATGTGGGCCTAAGCGCGGTCCAAGTCGTGTCTCATTAACGCTACTGAGGGATCAAATAACAATCAAACACCGGCTCACAATGAGCATGAACAACCAAGGGAACAAACGAGACAAACGGCAACAAGGACCACACAATCCCGAGGGGATCTTGGCTCCGCCACCGGCCGAGAAACACCCGAAGAAGGAGAACGTGAAGGAGGGGATACGGCAAACCGTCGTCCGGAGGCAACCCGGGACGATGACCGTCCTCCACCCGGAGAAGGCTCGTCCCGAGAAGCCAATGATGGACCTCGGGGCGCAACTCCAGCCGCAACAGGCGAGCTGGGTGGCACCAACAGTGGCGCTAACGTACAAAGAGTACAGGGGACTCAAAGAGAGAACCCACCCCCACATAGAGGGACCACAACAAGTGGAATAAACGTCGAAGAGACAAATGGGAACGGAGAGGAAACCGTCCCGCAAGGCGATAACGCACAACATGACAGACAACCAGACACCCCCCACACAACCACCAACCCACACCAACGAAGGCGTAACGAGCCACCACAGATGTACCCTGGACCAGAAACAACAAGAAAAAGCGTTGGGAACGGAAAGAAAAACACGAGAGCCGCACTGAAGATAGCCGGCCTTAACATAAGAGGCCATGGCAACACAAACGTTCGACACCCCGAGAACAAGTGGCTTGGCATATGGCAGATCGTAAGAGAAGAGAAAATCGCAGTACTCGTAGTGGGAGAAGCGCACATGAACCAAGAACGGAAGGATGAGATAGATAAACTGTTCAGCCACAAGATGCGACTAGAGTTCACAGAGAACCCAAGATCCATCAACGCAGCAGGCCTAGCCTTTGTGATCAACAAAAACATGATAAAAACGGAGGGACTAAAAACTCACGAGATCACACCAGGAAGGGCAATGATCCTCGAAATGAAATACACAGATGGGAGCCCGCTATCAATACTCGGGGTATATGCACCAAATAACCCAACGGAAAACGGCAAATTCTGGGAAGAGATCGAGAAATTTTTAGAAGATCACCCACATATACGACGACCGGACATTATGGCAGGAGACACAAACGTTGTAGAAGCAGCAATTGATAGACTGCCAGCGCACGAAGATGACAAGAAAGCAGTAGATGCACTAGATGCACTCAAATCAAAACTAGGAATGATAGACGGATGGAGGGCCACGTACCCCGACTCCAGAGAATACACGTTCAGGCAATCAGCTGCGCTTGGAGGATCACTCTCCCAAATCGACAGGATATACGTGAGATCAAACACATTCAACAGCAGCTTCGAATGGGGCATCAAAAGAGTTGGCATCGAAACAGACCACGATCTCACATGGACGAAGGTGACCACGGAGAAATCCCCGACGGTGGGAAAAGGACGATGGGCATGGCCAGCATACATCATGAAAGACAAACCCCTAGCGTCACATATCCTCCAATGTGGACTAGAAATGAGTAAAGAATTCAGCCGACTAGAAGAGGGAGACGTCGGAAGAACACGAGAACACAACACCCAGACACTATGGGCCAAATTCAAGGCTAAGATTGGCAGTAAAGCCCGAGAGAGAGCAAGGCAGGTAGTACCCAAGATCATACAAGAGATCGCCGAACTAGAGCAGAAACTAGAAAATGTCTTCTCGGACAGCACAACACAAGAAGAAGATAGACATCTAAACGCGACAGTAATCATTGATCAGTTAACAAAGCTTCAATAACAGAGATACCGATCGAATAGGCTGACAGCCCAGATCCAAAACCGACTCCACGGAGAGATCATCGGGAGGTACTGGTCAAGAATTAATAAGCCAAGCAAGCCCCGAGATATCATACACAGACTGAGGAAACCTACCCCGACATTCCAAAACCAAGAAGCACCCATAGAATACGAGATGAACTCAAAGTGAATGGCGAACATGGCCAGGGAATACCACGAAAAACTACAGAACAACAGGCGAGATGTCAACCACGACGTAAGAAACGACCCGGAAGATCCTAGCCAAAACACAGACCAAAACTTCAGAAGAACAAAATGAGAAACTAAATGCAAACCTAACGCTAGAAGACGTACGAAACGCTCTGAAAGGATCAGCCAACTTCAAGGCACCAGGCCTAGACGGCATCCCATATGAGCTATGGAAGATACTGAACGACAGATATGAGACGGCTGCCAAGACAAACAAACCAGCATTTGATGTGCTAAAATGCCTAGTGGCAGTGTATAATGACGTCGAATCCAACGGCATCATTGCCGGAACCAATTTTACGGAAAGCTGGATGTGCCCACTCTACAAAAAGAACGATAAAACAGATATAGCCAACTACAGACCAATTTCCCTACTAAACACGGATTACAAAATATTTACCAAGGCACTATCCATTAAACTAGGAGATATAGCACCAGACCTGATACACCTCAATCAAGCCGGTTTCGTCAAAGGACGCCAAATTAAAGATCAAATATGGCTTACCAAACGAGTAATAGAACTGGCGGAAGCCACGGAAAGAAACGGGGTAATTATTGCACTAGACCAGGAGAAAGCATACGATAAGATTGAACACAACTATCTCTGGAAAGCGCTAAATAGCTACGGAATACCGGAAAAATTTATAAACACGGTCAAAGCTCTATATGGTGATGCACATACATATGTAATACTAAACGGAGAGAAGAGCGCAAAACCATTCAGAGTAACCTGAGGGGTCCGCCAGGGAGACCCGCTCTCATGCCTCCTCTTCAATCTTGCAATAGAACCCCTGGCCGAAACATTGAGACAGTCAGATCTACAGGGGATAAAGATACAAGGGAAAACAGAGAGGCTAATTGCGACACTATTTGCTGATGACACAATTGTCTACCTAGACTGGCAGGACGACTTTGGGGCCCTACTAGACATTGTCGATGAATGGTGCATAGCGTCGGGCGCTAGATTCAATATCAATAAGACGGAAATGATACCGATCGGAAAACTCGAGCATAGAGACAGAGTGAGAGCCAACCACTTCGTAAATGGAATAGACGGCACAATGATCCCAGACCACATCAAGATTGCAAGGGAAGGCGAACCAGTCAGGTGCCTGGGAGCATGGTTAGGAAACCAAGTGCAACAGGTGGACACATGGACACGCACCCTCGAGAAGATCGATGAAGCATTAGACCGATGGGAACAAGGGAACCCATCCATGGCAGGCCGTAGACTCATAGTCCTCATGGTTATTGGAGGCATGTCACAATACCTAGCAACGGTACAAGGGATGCCGAAAGAAATCGAAGAAAGACTCGAAAGAAGAGTCCGCAGGTTCATCTGGGCAGGGAAGGAGAGAGTAACCATAAACAAAGAGACAATATACGCACCAGCAGAGATGGGAGGAAGAGACCTACTAGACATAGTAGCAAGAAACAAAGCAATCGCTATAATGTGGCTGAAAACGTACCTGGACTTCGGCCCAGACAGACCGCTATGGTGCTTCGTGGCAGACGAGATCTTGGCAAATAAAATATCCTCCGAAGGGACTAACGTCGAACTAAGTGTCAGACTGAACTCGTACCTACAAGAATGGACGCACAAAGTGACTGCCAAAGAGATAGGAACGGACCTAGCGCGCATGACCGCCGCAGGAAAGAAACACGGGGTGAAGATAGAAGCGATAGCGGTATCACGGAAAATCCAAAATGAAATGATAATTTGGAACCACACGAAGTCCAACGCCCAGTGGAGGATGTGGGTATTCAAGAAAGAAACAATAAAATGTCTCAAAGAAAACCATAGGATGAAAACGGTAAATGACGCAGTCCAGCTAGCCCGAAAAATAGGCACCACCAGACATAAAGCATCCAGAACATGCCGATGCAATGCATGCACAATAACCAAGACCATCACACGCTGCAGACACCCACACGAATGCTACAAAAAAGCACGGGACATGTTAGACTCGCTCGACGAAAAATGGGATCCGAGGAAGAAACAACCGGAAGACTACGAACACCGAATGGTACCAGAAAGGACAGAAGTAGATGGTGTCAAAACGGTTGACATCGACCAAAGGGTAACAACAACAGGAAACATCGGAGATGTATTCAGGATATTCACAGAGGGCGAAGTGAATAACAACCGGATAGCACCAGACCGCGAGCACGCAGAGAACCCCAGCGAAGAAACAATAGAGCTCGAAGCATACACAGACGGCTCAGCAACAAAAAACGGCAGAAAAGGAGCCGAGGCGGGAGCCGGAATCTACTTCGAAAGAGAAGAACAAGAGAATAAAGCAATAAGAATCCCCGAGGAACTCGACCCATCAAACCAAGTCGCAGAGATGCTAGCGATAAAAGAAACAATAGAAATCTGCCCGCCAGGAGCGCCAATACACATCAAGACAGACTTGATGTACTGCGTTAACGGACTCACCGGAAACCTTCAGAAATGGGAAGACCAAGGTTTCTTCCTCACGGCAAACGGAGACCTGGCCAAACTAACCATCACTAAGATACGAAACCGTAGAGCACGCACAAGACTCACATGGGTCAAAGGACACGCAGGAATACACGGAAACGAAGAAGCGGATAGGCTAGCAGATGAAGGCAGACGGAAAAACCAGCCCGACATCATCGATACCCAGACGGATAGATCGCTAGTCCTCCCCGGAGCAAAGCTGCGCGCAATGACACAATCAATAGCCTATAAGATCATTAGAAAGCTCAAGATGAAAAGCGATAAGTACCAAGACGCACTAGACCGAAAAGCGACGAGACGAAACATGGAGACAGTGCAACAAGCGACCACCGAGGAGGGACCAAACTCAAAGGGAGCGGCGACGGAAACCCAAATCTGGATAGCAACGCGGCACAAGGACTTCTCACGAAGCATCCGATACTTCATGTGGATGCTACTCCATGACGGATATAAAGTCGGAGCACACTGGTCAAAGATCCCGGGACACGAAGAAAAAGCACACTGCAGACATTGCGGGGAAGGCGTCGTAGAATCGATGGAACACATACTGACGGAATGTGAAGCAACGGGACAAGCTCAAATCTGGAAGTTAGCAAACGAACTGTGGATGAAGAAAACAAACACAGACCTGAACCCGAACATGGGCATGATAATGGCATGCGGCGCAATACAACAGTCAAACGCAGGACTATCACGATTCTTCCGCATACTAATCTCAGAATCTGCGCACATGATATGGAGAATAAGATGTGAGCGCGTGATACAGGAAAAAAACGATGCCACTGCCCAGGAGGTAAAGAACAGATGGAAGAGGGCAATAAACACGAGACTGCAGATAGACTGCATGATGACGAATGCAGCGAAATACGGAAAGAGATCGATTAAATCTTCCCTGGTCCGGAAGACATGGGCGAAGACCCTAGAAAACGAGGAGCATCTCCCAGATGAGTGGACCAAGGGAGGCGGGGTTTTAGTGGGTATCGGATAACAGCGATGATGGAGTCGACAAGAATCGGTCTCCGGAGCTGGGAGCCGAATCCCCACACATGGCATCACGGGTAACCGGATGTATCGTGCGGGTAACAACCGGTTACTAAGCGCATTTCCTCGCGTGGTTATTCCTCAGTCTGGCTAGGTTCTCAGTCCTAGGCCTCAAATCCGACGGGTAATGAGTGTACGACTATGTTAGATACTCAATACTATCAACGTCCCACCAAAAAAAAAAAAAAAGGTCCTAGCTGTCAGTGAGAGATCTGGACATGATGTATAGTAGTCATCAATATCAATGATCGCTGATTGGATTGCACTGCGACATGTCATGGCTTGATACCCAGATTTGCAAGTGTGGTCAGTTGTAGCTGTAGGCGTATGTATGTATGATGGAATAGAATCCTCTTGAATAGGGCTTCTTTTCAAAGGCCGAGAGACTGTCAATCCCGGAGAGCGTACGCGCGGCGAAGCGCTGGCGATATATCTACCACGTACCATTATCACACTACTGAACAACACTACTGAACACTACACAGTTGTTTTAACGTGACCACTTCTCGCTCATGATTCAGCTTTGTACGCGCTGATCTTGATGGCCAAAGTCCCGGTTGATACGAAACCGGATTTCCCAGGCACAAAAGAAACTGGGCGCTGGAGAGGACCACTCAAAACAGGCTCGACACGCTCGGCTCCCGGTGAAAATTCGAATGCACGGAGGAGGCTGAACAAGATCGCTTTTTGCCTGATGAGTCACAGGATTAGAATTTGTGCGCAGTCTCAGTATGAAGTGAATTGGACTTACTCGACTAAAGTGAATCTGAATCCGATGCAGTTGTGTGGGCCCGCCAAGAAAGTCATCTGATGAGCCCAAATTCCTGGGATCAAGTTTGCTGCGTCAGGGAGATTATCCCAGCGTTCTGGCCTGTCACAGACGTGAAAAGGAGAAGGAGACACGATAATTTCAGCATCAGAAAGCGAAAAGAAAACTCACTGAAACTCCAGCGCGTCTTCACCCCAAGTCTCAGTGTCCGTGTTGATGGCCAGAATCGGGATCGTGATTATTTGACCTTTGCGAATGCTGACAATATTCAGGTTCAAGTCAGTCCGTTTCATATGAGGAGATGAACACTCACGGAAGAACCTCGTGCGATACGCCATAGCGATCAACATACGGCTTGGTGAGCGGGAGTACATCATCCTGGCTTGCCATGCGTTGCGTGAAAGCCACCGGAGCGTACAACCGCATCGTCTCCCGGACGAAATTCTCGAGGAATGGGAGCGAGTTAAGTTCGTCCATGGATGGATTGTCTGTTGGGAGCGAGAGCAGCTCCTGCCGGAGCTTCTCTTGGATATCAGGGTTACGAGACAGGGCGTGAGCCGCCCATGATAATGCGGTACTGGTGGTCTCGTGTCCGGCGAATACAAACGTCGCGATTTCTGAGAGAAGATGTCACAAGAGGACGTTTATGGATAGAAATCCCGTACGTGCAATGACCTCGTCGTCGCTCAGACGCTGGCTTGCTGGAATCTCATTGGACATATTCGCCTTGATGAGCAGTGACAGCAGATCTCGCCCGCGGTTGAACTGTTTTGCGTCGCTGATAGCCGCCGATTCCGCTTTGCAATCGTTTAGCAAGGTCTTCCCGATTGCACGGAGTCTTGTTTGCGCGACTAGGGTGACATACGATCCGGGAAGCGGCTGATGAACATCGTCGTTGTTAGTTGTTGCTATTCAATTTTTTCAGCTCCACGTACGAGCAGTTTAAGTGCTGGTACTACAATCTGGGCCATCTGGATTGACCGATACAGATTGGCTTTTGGAGAATGGAACAGTTGCCGGAGGACCGTGCTAAGCTCAGCTTCTTCCTTTCCGTGCGTTTGAAGAGCTTGAAACTGATATCCGAACCCTGACTGCATTACATGAAATAGAACGATGAAAGAAAGGTTCGGCGTACCAGCCTGACCGATGATGTCTAGCGTCACTTGTCGAAACCAGCTAGATAGATCGATTGTCACAGGGCCTCTCTCGTCCCCGAGTCGTTTCGACAACATGTCGCGCATCTGAAGTATGATGAGGTTGGCACAAAGAACATCTGGCTGATTTGATTGCTTACCATGTTCCCTTTCTCGACGAAGACTTCATTCATTGCCCGTATCTGTTGAATCCCGAATGCAGGGTTCTATGCCAAGACTTTGAAGCCCTACGCGAGGTGCGTGAAGATGTGATTACTCACCAGAACTCTCCGCTACATTGATGGAAATGATGAGGGGATATGCATGGTTGACAGAAGATGCCTTGCCTGTCGCTTGTGAGGGTCCAGATCGACTGAAAGGATTCCCTGCCCGAGGATCCGCCGCTGATTTCCCAGCGCTGTACGTGTCTTCTGATAGAGCGCGGCATGAGTGACAATGTGTGTCACCGCCTTCAGGTCCTTGGTGTGCAGCTCGTTCGTCTGTGTCAAGTTGGCGCCTCAGCAAGGATTCAGGTGCGATCAATAGACGCACGAAGAATATGCCCTTTGCCATAAAGGTCGCCCCATATTGCGCTCTCCATTCGTTTGTGATCTCGGGACTGTCCTGCGACAAGTTCTCTCAGAACGTGTGTGACCCGGTAAATGTTTGGCGCCGAACCGATATCAGCTGCAGATGCCCAAGAACAGGATTTGCACAAGACGGGCCGTCGACGAATTTGAGAGGCGAGGTCCAGTTGCGGTACAAGATCCGTATGACGAAAAAAAAGACATAAGAGAGAAGAGTGCAGGCAACGGGGAGAAGGATATTCAAGATCATGCTTTGTTCGCAATGCCAATGCAGTCTGGAGGGCGAGTGGCTCGGTACTGCTTAAGTACCCCATCCGCAACATCCCATGACCGCAGTTCGTGCTTGCATCACGGACGACAGGTCAGAGAGTATGACCGACCAGCTTCGAAAATAGGACGAGTGTCATGCCATTCGGGCTGCCGTCCTCCTTCGCGAATGCCAGTCAGTGACATGGAGCATGCCTACTACCTTTAAAAGACGGGCCGAGATGGCCCGAAATGACCGAGATATGAACTGCGTCGAGACTAGGGCACTAATGAGCAGGTCAGAGTGAGGTTTCAAGAACAATTATTTGCTGAGACAAGTACGCTATGAGCGCGCTGAGCCTAGTCGATCTTTACGCCTCGGATCGATGCAAAAAATAGTGATGGTAGAAGCATTGCTCCAAGGTTATTGACGAAGCAAGTTCGAGCATCCCTAAGCCATGGACGATGGCTCGACTCGACCCCTCCGGCGTTTTTACCCGACCCCTACGGCGATCTAAAAGGAAGCACACCACATCATCTTGGACCTGTCACCGGGCCGTGGGGACTAAGATTGAGCCCAAGTCATCTCCTGCTTGCATGCCGATGTGATATCGCCGAGACAGACCGTGGGCAGCCCTCAGCGATTCTATGTGGCCAGTGCGGCTGACGAGGGATCATTTCAGACCAGTCCAATCGCAGTACCAGCAGATTGCTTCCCCATCTATCACCGTCGCGGCTGAATGGGAAGCACCTTGAAAGCAATTATGTCATCACGGTCAACGATGCGGATGGGTTGGGCTTCAATCTCAAAGATCTTTTTACCCTCATCTTCATCTCTAGCAGATGAAAACTGCGACGACTTACCGATCCTGCCCACTGTACAAGAGTCAGTACTCTCAAGCACGTACAGACTTCTGCGGTCTCAGACATCACGGCCCCGCTGTTAGTGCGATAACTGGATATCGATGTTGCCACATGTCCCCTCGGGGGTACTGAATACCGATGTTATGCAGGTTAGCCTCTAATTTCATCGTGGTCTCATATTATTTTGCTCAGCATCAGATCAGAATCAGTATTGTGACTTAGAATGCCCCATCCTTGACGGCTTTCCAGCTCTCACGGGAGCTGATATCCTCGTACCAACGGTTCACGTTTGGACGGCTGGTAATCAGGTCCAATTTGGCCGCCTGTAGACCAATCGTCAATGATATTAACACGGTGTAGATGGGGCACGCACCGTTGTGAGACCGTAGAGCCACGGAAGGTGGAAAAGGTCAGCGATGGTCAGGGTCTATGCGTAGATGGTCATTCAGAAGTACGATCAGTCGGTCAGCCAATAGAAACTCACGTTCCCGGCGAGATACTTCTGCTTGGAAAGAATCTGCTCGTAGACGTCCAATTTGGCGCTCAGGCTCTCGATGAGGGATGTCAACTTGGCCTCATCCGTCGTCATTCCCCTCATACTGAACCATCATGATCAGAGAGCGACTGCCGTGAATGACGGAGGGACACGCACGGCTTCATGACCTTCTCGAGCATAATCGGGCCCGCAATCGCATCGAAGTTGTTGTTCTCTATGCTCACAGCCTGCTCAAACTTGGCCGTCGCCGCGATGTCCTTCGGGTCTGGGACGAGTGTGCTGCCGTTGCCGTACTTGGCGACGACGTATCGCGCAATCGCGCGGCTCTCGAAGAGCGTGAACCCATCGTCCTGTTATATCGAGCCCGAAGTCATTGAGTGTGTCGAGTGCAGCTAAGAGAGTTGGAATCGTACGTCGATCGCAGGGACGACACCGAAGGGCTGTCTGGCGAGATGCTCGGCTGATTTCTGCTCCCCCTTGGCGATGTTGACGGAGATCGGCTCAAAGGGAACACCGATCTCCTTGCAGACAACAGCAACGCGGCGGGTGCAGCTCGAAAATGGGAAACCGTAGAGCTTGAGGACCATCTGGGAGACTCGATGAAGATGGGGGCGATTTGGGCGCTAGATAAGTAGGAATTTGGTATGAATCATCAACGGCGGCAGTCAATCATTTCACACGAGCTATTAATACTCGTTACTGTGTTCTATAAGAGATAGCTATGATTTCACCGCGTCATCGACGCTTGATTCATCAGGTACCTCTGTAACAGCTGAGATGCCAACGGGCTTCACTCCCCGCAGGAAGACCACGGCCAAAACGGAGCCTGCACGCGCGTGAATCAAAGAAGGCCTTCAGCGGAGAGATGATCGAAGACGTACAGCCTATTGCCATGCCAAAAGCAGTCCATTGTGAGGCACGATATGCTTCGAGCGGAGCGCCCATCTCTCCGCTGCGGCCTTTACCAACAGATGTGTGCACGATACTGGTGATGGCCAGTCCAAACGCGGTTCCCAGCTGTCAAGCAGTTTCAGTCAACGGTGCTCAGACCAATAGGGCCGATGTACCTGCATCAGCGTCTGGAAGATACCGCCGGACAGGCTCTGTTCGTGAGGTAGTGAGATCTTGGCGATGAACAGTGTCCCCGCAGCAAAGACGAAATCACCGCCGAAAACAGAGACGATCGGCGATGGGAAGCCATAGGCCCAGTACGGTGCCCCCGGATGGATCAGCGCCATCAACAAGGCTCCGACTCCGGTGAATGTAGTGCCAAAGACTATACGCGGATTCATGAATGATCAACGAGACTGAATGGATTCGAGCGCACCGACGAGGTAGACCAGGTCAACCCGGCCGACGAGAAACACTACGAAGACGTTGCACAGGAATCCGGCCACTGTCATAGGCAACATCCGCAAAGCAGTGAAGATCGGATCGAGCTTCACGTAGTCCTCGTAATAAACCTAAGTATCCGTACTTCAATGCGTGTGCTCTCTTGTGGGCTCCGTATGTACGCACCTGAGACCAAAAGAACCACGACAGGAAACCGGCCCATTCCAAAACGCGATGACTTGCATAACAGCGAATTTGCCGTTTGCGCGGGACCACAACGAAAGCTTCATCAACGGTGGAGGCAGGTATCTGCTCCGCTCCGAGTTCTGCTCCAAATGGTGCTGCCATGCGAGAAAGAGACCGATGAACAAGAGCCCGACAAGTAGAAGTGCGATGATGTCTGCGATACAACATGAGCCCACAGAACGAATAGACCAGAAGATCCCGCGACACGCACATGGAGTCTTCCAGCCTCGTACGGCGAGCTGGCCTTGCCCGAGCACAAACAACAAGAGGACGAGCCCCGTCGTTACCAGGAACGCACCGACCCAATCTACGCGCTTGTCCGCTTCCAAACTCGGGACGTCGTTGTCGATAGCGAGCAGTCCACCAGGAACACAAAGAGCGGAAAACCCAGCGAACAAATAGAATGGGGAGCGCCAAGATGCACTGCAGGGTCCCTTTGTGAGTGGGATAACGCGATTGAACGAACTGCGTACTGGGTCTTCTGAGCGAGTAGCGCACCGATCTGCGTTCCGAGAGCTCCACCGATAGGCGCCCCAGCCGAGAAAGTAGCAAAAGCAATGTTACGTGCACCTGATTCGGGGAAACCATGGGCCAGGATTCCCAACTGCCCTGGGGGGCGATCGGGTAAGCGGGTGGTCATACGGCAAGTTTAGAAAGAAACGCGACATACACAGGCAGGAAGGAAAGCTGCAGGGCCGACACCCTGTAGGCCCCGGAGGATATACAACGTCGTTGAATCACGCGCAAAGCCGCAACCGAGCGAGAACACGGCGAGCCAGGTTGTGCCGATGACGAAGAATCTCTTCCGGCCCCAGAGGTCGGCAAGTCGGCCGAGGAGAAGTAGGAGGCATCCCTGTGAGTCGATTTGGCGAATAACATGGCAGCTGACGCGGGGGACATACAGAGGACAGAGAGAACGCGGACACCAGCCATTGGAGCTGGGTCTCGGGTATTTGTAGGTCTCGCGCGACGACCGGGAGGAATGAGGACACGGCAGTGGAAGAGGCAAGCTATCAGGGTTCAGAAAGGGAATGTAAGTGACGAGCGTGCTGACATGCATGCATAGCAATAGTGCGTACATTCGTGATCATCGCGAGAGTGCATGTTACGACTAAAAGCACCGACTTCCATGTCGACCGCTGTGAAGGAGACACCGGTGCAGACACATCTAAGCCCGCCTCCTTGGGATCGGCCATGTAAGTCGAGAGACGGAACGAGGAAAAGCGCAGCACTTACTTACCATGCAGCAGCTTGCAGATGGATCAAGGGCTCAGCGCCGGCATATGAGCGGGAGAAGATCAGCGAGAGCATGCAGTCAGTCTATTTTGGAATTGAGCGAGAGGGAGGGTCTCGGAGGGTGCCATGTTGCCGGTGAGTTCGCAGCTCAGTAGAAGGGATCGAGTGACCTGTGACGGCTTGGTGACACGACCAACTTCCATCTTCGAATCCCGCTCAAAGATAGATTAATCGAATGTGTTTCGAGACTGGCAGCCGTGCGAACGCTATTCTTGGAATGAGCTGTGTTACATTGAGGGTTCGGGCCTGATTCGTGAGCAACGACTTGTCTACCTGACTCACAATGAAAGTGGCACTCGCAGGTGCAAGCGCTGGCGTTGGACGAAGCATCGCCGAGGCGATTCTCGCCAACGGGAACCACACTCTCGTCGTCCTCTCGCGCTCTGCGGATATCTCGTTCCTCTCATCTCGTGGTGCGCTCATCGCCGCAGTCGACTACTCCGATCCCGCCTCTGTCTCACGCGCTCTGGACGGCGTGCACACCGTCATCAGCGCCATCGGGGACCACAGCAAGTCCGCGTCCGCCCAGCTCGCGCTCGTCCACGCCGCGTGCGCCGCCGGTGTTGCGCGCTTCGTGCCAAGTGGGTGGTCCGCGGCCGATGTCACTGCAGGATCGATTGAGGAGGTCGAGCTCTACCGGTACAAGCAGCCGGTGCTCGACGCTCTCCGCGCGCAGAATTCAATGAAATGGTCGCACCCCGAGAACGGGATCTTCTTGAACTACCTTGCGACCCCTTCGAAGGGAATCGCGTACTTGAAGCCCCTCAAGTTCTGGATCGATGTGGAGCAGTGCAAGGCAGTTATCCCTGGCGACGGAAACATCCCCCTGGTGTACACCGCGCTCGAGGACGTCGGTGCGTTCATTGCCAAGGCGCTCGATTCAGACGAGGAGTGGCCGAGGTCGTTGCGCATCGTCGGGGCCAAAGTCACGCACAACGAGTTGGTACGGATGGCTGAAAGAGTGCGCGGTGCGTTCCGTCCCACTCAGTCCTTATTTACTTGGTCAGGCTCATGTTGCAATCTAGGGCGTTCCTTCGAAGTGGAATATCGCTCAGCGGAGCAATACACGGCGTCGCTGGTCCCCAATCCGCCGTCACTCTACGTCAACCTCGCGACACAGCTCAGCCTCATCCTGATTTCCGGCCGTTTCACATTCGATTCAACTTTTGATCACGCCGCCGGGCATAAGTTTGTGCAACCACAGGAGTTTATTAAGAAATGGTGGGGACATGTCCTTCAGTGACAGTATTTGACTCGGTACGGCTTGAAATACCTTGCATATATTTCGAACTAGGTTGTCCCGCAAGACTCTGAATGATGGATCTCTATACAATCGATAGATTTGTTACAGTACACGGTACTGAAACAACCTACAACACAACGGCAACAGAAAAGTGGGAAATCAGTCCGTCTAGGAACAGCAAAAGTCTGACCGCTCAAACTGCATTAATGAACTGGTTCGTGATTGAGTTGGGTAGGCTGATCGTAGAAATATCGACCACAGACCTTGAGCTCCGAAGCATTGGAAATGGTGTAGTCTTCCATTTGTGAAGCGGTAACACCCAACTGCAATCCAAGTCAACCCTGAGAGCAGCAGAATGAAGTGTTTCGATGGCGACTTATACTTACAGTATGATCGCCCGTCGATGCGGAACTATGGAATTTGGAGTTCGGTGCAAACACAGGAGCGGTGCCGATGCTGCTGCCCCCAGTAGGACCCGTGGCAGCGCTCATGTGGGAGAGGCTGATGGTCGTGTTCATATTCATGGCACGCGGAGCATGTGAGCGGACGGTGTCCCGGTAGTTGAGCGTCGCAAGCAGACTGTTGGTGTACAGCTTCCCGGATACCAGATTGAATGCGATGTGGATCAGATTATTCGGCATCGTCAGGAACTTTGGAGCCAGTTGAGTGGAATGCGGGACGATTATTGGAGAAAAACGACGTACGCAGATCATGTCGATGAGGACGACGATCCTGCGGGTCTGTCAGCAATGCATATCTTGTTTTGATTCGAAGTGAACGTACGCGGTCAGGGTCCCCGTATTCATTGCATAGAGAATCAGCTTATTCACCACTGAGTCGGTGCTGCAACGTAGACAGACTCAGTTTTGGTGCTCGGCGCGATCATGAGAAGCGGAAACACGCACGTCTTGATTCCTGTCCGGCTACGAAGGAGATACCACGACAGGGACGTTGCGATGGTCAAATCTGCCGCAGCCGCACATGCGAGCCCGACACTAGCGATCGTTTGGAACTTGAAGAAGAGCTCGATCTTGACGAGCTGGAACCTTTTGCTCGTTGTCAGTTTGGATTTCAAACAAACACGGAGGGAAGACTTGCGTTCGAACCTGAACGGCTGCACGATCTGAATGAGAGAGAACTATTACATAACGATTCGGGGACCGCGCACCCATTTCGAATCCATAGTAGCAGCAAGACAAGGTCACGATCAGCCCTGTCAATAGGTAATTCCTGTTGCTGACTGTGCACACTTGGTTTCAGTCTACAGAAAATAAACAAAAGGCACGCACGAATCCAGACTCGACGAGCAAGGAAGCTGACGATTGCGCGTCAGCATGATTGCTCATCAAGAATAGCGGACTGACAATTGAACGATGATGACGATAGAATTCGTCACCAGAATCCCGATCTACAAAGCAGAAAATAAGCGTCACTGGACTCGCCAAGCAATGGGTCCACGACGTACATTGAAAGTCCAGGTGGAATTCGCAAGGACAGCGGGATTCGCGTAGTTGGTGATGACCCTGTTTCCAACTTCAGATCAAGCCAGTGGAGTCTCAACGGTCCGCTGGAGCATACCAAAAATACAAGCAGGATCCGATCAGAACAAGCTGCAAGGTGTCCAGAATCCTAACAGATGATAGTCAACTCTTCGTGTGGAAGCCGTGGTGCGCGGCCTCCCACCAGAGACCGCCAACCAAAGTCTTGATCCACAACGCGTCCTTTATAAAGATATGGTAGTAGCGATAGGTCTGCATCGACATGACCCCGAACAGGCTGGCCACCACAGACGTCAGAGTTTATCGAAATCCATGGATGATTTGCGGCGAACGCACCCCCAAGCCAGCATGTAGGCGACGCACAGTGCACCGAGCGTGGTGTCGAATTCTCCCATTGCAAGTTCGAAATTTCCGTTCCGGAGGAGGACTAGCCAAGGAGCAGCTATGCACTTACAATCATGACGCAAGGCTATAAGTAGGAACAGTTCCTTTGGTCCAGATATCCACCACTTGATTGCATCATTCGACGACCAGCTTCGCTGCTTCCTCACTCTGTCCATCACCAACTGGCGCGTGCGGTTGAGGAGCTTGGATCGGCATCGCGTTTGAGTCAGACTCGTGAGTAAAAGTTCCATGTATGAATTCCGATGATACCAAGAATAAAGAGATCAGAGATAGGATTCAAGAATTATACTACTTGTCTTGTCAAAGACAGATATAGATAGATCCTCCTCGAAACCATCAATTCTGAACGGCCGCGAGAAACTCCCGTCTTATAGCCACCAACCTCGCCGCGCTTCTCGCTGTGATGCGGATTGGAAAATCGAGGGGTTTCCTGTGGGAAGGGGTGTTTCAGCGATTAGAGCGCGATATTCGAGCCGAAGAATACTCACGATGTCATCCCCGAAGTGCAGCACTCTGGTTTGGGCATATCTACGTTCTCAGGCAACTCAAGATTGAAGGCCCAGAGGATGCGCACGACTGCGATCCAGATCGTCTTGGTTGCCATGTATTTGCCAGGACACACTCGCCTGCGGGAAGCTGAGCACCGCATGCCACGGATGAATATGACCTGCGAAGTACCTTCCGAATCCAAACCCGTAGTGCCCCTCAGTGAGATCAAACACATGCTCCTCCTGAGTCGCGGGGTCTGAGCTCAGAAATCGCGATGGATCGAAGGTGTATGATTCCGGGAACTCCTTTTCATTGTGATGCTGCGGAACAATCGCATCAGTTAGAACAGTATGGCATGAGAGTCGCACCATATTCCAGATACATGGAATAACCATCGTGCCTTTGCGTATCTAGGCCCTTCCCGATCAACTCCGCGGGAAGCAAACACAGGAGAGAAGGAACTGACCTCGAAGCCTTGATACTCGTCATCCGCATCTGCGACATGCGGGAAGCCGCCAGGCGCTGCGGGCGCCCATCTGAAAAGCTCCTTTACGAACGCAGCACAGTACGGAAGTTCTCGGAAAACCGCGAATCCAGGCACGGTATCTTCGTCGACTGCGGAGTCAATCTCGGCTTGGGCTCTCTTGACCGTTTCGGGGAAGAGCAAGGCCGCCATGAGAAACCAGAGGACTGTGCCCGTCGTCGTGTCCGTACCAGCCTCGAACGCAGAGCCGGCGACTGAGCATGCACATTAGACGATCCAGAGGGAAGCATTGAGACGAAGGGCGCACCGTAAGATAGCTCCTCGGCAGAAAGTTTCATCTTCTCCTGCTGTTCCCATAGACGGGCAGCGAAGCACTCCGTTTCAATATCTCCATGCATGCGGACCTTGACTTCGCCTGACAGACGGGTATACAGCTGCAAGGATATCAAGATTCTGGAGCGGAACGATAGCATAACGCAGAGCCTCACCTCGACCTCAAAGTCATGTTTTCTCCGCGCTTCGGATCTCCAGGGTGCGAGCCAGTCCGGTAAGAGGTCGAGGACGGGAAAGGTGTCCACGAGGTGTGAGCCAGGATAGGTGTCTTTGACGAACCCCCGAAGAACGGACTGGACAGCATCCAGATCCTTCCCGTCGGACTTGAGTCGTTCGCCGTAGCTCAGCGTGAATACGAGGGACGCGGCAAAGCGACCGCAGTGCTTGAACGCGTCTTCCGGCGACGAGACAAGATCGTGGAGAAGCTGAAGGGATTCTGTTTCTTGCATGCCTTCGTAGGCGCCGACGACTAGGTGAGATGAGCTTGAGGCGGAGGGATTGCAAGCACTGCTGAGGCTTACCGCGTGGCTGGAGCATCTGGTGAAAGGCGGATCTTTGCCGTTTGAGCACCTCGCCGTACGGCAAAAGCACCATCCGCTGATTATTCGACTGGTACTTGCCTGCATAGATGAGTTGTGGGCGCGAGGAATAGTTGTGCGAGCGACGTCCCAGCTGGGTTTTATATCGTGAGATGACTGCAGCAGAAGATAGGACCTAGCCGTACCAGCTCTTCAGCATCTCTGGGATCACTCAATACAACTACATTGTCTCCGGCTAAGGATAGTCGAACGATGGGCCCTAGCACAGCGCATGAAAACCGATTATCGTCGAGTTTGGTGTGAGTGTGCACACCATATTGATGATAAAGTTTTTCGAAGTACTTCCATGTCTGTATGGTCGGTACTTGAAGCGTATGGCCGACGAGCGGATGAGGACGTGGTCCAGGAGGATGCCGTGTCGGCGGCCCGGAGTTCAAGGATCGAGCGATGTGCAAGCCCACGATAAGTGACGCGCCTGAGAGGAGCAGGAGGGAATATTGAGTGTCGCTTGAGGATAGTGAGTACCCGAATGGCATTGGATCGAGAGGAAGGCGTGCGCGACTCACCAAAGCCGTCCGTGGCTGGGTCACGGTCAATGAGATGAAGCGGGTGGTGACCGTGACGGCTGGCGTTCTCTCTGTTCTCTCATCAGTGATCACCATCCGGATCCCGGCGTCACGACAGCTACAGCAAGTAAACCGATTCTACGTCCAGTCTCCAGGTGGTACAAGAAGTTGTGATGACTATCCGACGTCTCACAATTCAAGGTTCCCAACTCGGGCGCTGCGCTGTAAAAACTTCCCAATTGAGTTCCCTGGCTTCCCCAGTAAGCATCGGTATCTTAATAGACGTGCCGGCTTTTCCGAAGTACGAAGTGAAGTCTTCTCACTTCTTGAACATGAAAGATGAATTTCCGTACTGATGCCTACATCCTCGACTGAGATCTCACACGCGGGGAAATTTCTTCGTTTATGATCAAAAGGGAAAACATGCCTCACCAACTGAGTTGCAACCGCGGTAAGGCTGAGCCACAAAAATAGGCGGTTAGATGCTTACCAGAAAGGGTGAGGCTCTGCTCGTTTCCGCGTCTTATGTATAGCGGCCTTGATAGCGTCACGCCAACCTCAATACCACCCGGGATATCGACACCATGAGCTCTGAAGAACGCAACCCTCTCCTAGCGCAATCCGAGATCCCTCCTGCGACATGGTATGATTACTATGAGCTCGCGAGGCTGCACAAATTCCCTCTGGGAAACATCCTCGTTTTTTGGCCGTGCGCGTGGGGGCTCCTCATGGCCGCATATCGAACCCACACACCGCTGAATGACATCCTCGTCGAAACCTTGCTCTTTGCCGTCGGAAGTACTCTGCTCCACAGCGCAGCGTGCGTGTTGAACGACATCTGCGATGTCGATCTTGATCGACAAGTTGGTGCGAAGTTTCTCTCCTGAGCACTACTCGCCGCTTATGCCAACATGCTCAGAGCGAACAAGAAACCGACCCCTGGCACGCGGCTCGATCTCGATACTCGCAGCTTCGGTTTGGCTGATATTTCTGACGTCCGGAAGTGTTGGCTTGCTCTTCCTGACGAACAAAATTGCGTGAGAGCTCAGATTCTTTCCCGGCTACAGGTTCTCACATGTGCTCTAGTTTCCGATACGGTCTAATCGGCCTCTTCCCGCTCCATGCATTATATCCCCTCATGAAGCGGTGGACGTATTGGCCTCAAGCGTGGCTCGGTCTCGCGATGAACTGGGGATATCCGACAGCCTGGCTTGCAATCACTTCGACCATGGATTGGCCGGTCGTTGGAACCTTCTTCGCAGGGACAGTCTGGTACGGAATATGCCTCTTGCTTTGAATATCTCTATCCTTACCCGAGCAACAGCTGGACCATCGTTTATGATACAATCTACGGCTGTCAGGATATACAAGATGACCTGAAAGCAGGCATCAAATCAACTTCTATTCTATTTGGATCAATGGTCCGGCCAATTCTGGCCGGTTTTGCCACATTATTTTTGGCTGCAATGGCGTACTCTGGATTTTTGAATGACCAAGGTAGGTTTCTTCGAATCAGGATTTTCAATGAGGCTGAAACGTTCTTTGCGCAACAGGGGTCTATTTCTTCTCGATCAGCATCGGAGGCACAGCGTTATTTTTTATCTGGGTGTTCACCACTTGGGATGTTAAAAACGTTGCCGACTGCGGGGCTAAATTTGAGGTATGTTCATTTTTCTTACCCGATATATCTTTCTCCTCACATCAGTCCTTTCTACAGGCCAATGGAAACATGGGGGTGATCATCTGGCTCGGGTTGTTTCTGGATTATTACTACAAAGGCGCATAGTAGCATATCACTGTAGCTCAATCTTGCGTGATCGTGGATTGTAGATCTTCCTTTCAAAGTTCTAGAATTATCTAACATGAACTCTCATGCAGTTCCTGGTATCGATCATTGCTCAAGATTGAGGGTTTCCACTTTTGCCTCGGACCACAACATAATCTAGGAAAGGATCAGACGACATCTGGTCGAGTGGCACCGCTTTCAATCTCCTTCAAATCTGCGATCTTTGCAAAAATGCAGCTCGGTATCATGGTCAGAGAAATATACTCTCAAGCTTTACAGCTCTGCAGACAAGTCAGTCTGGCTGGACCACCAGTATCTCGGTTCGTCACACGACGAGTCAATGTTCTACGTCATCGCAGATCCTGTCACAACTACAGCTTCCGCTATCTTTTGCTTCAACGATCAATCAAAGATTCCCTCCCGCGTTTGAGTCCAAAAGCTGCACATGAAACCGTTATGAGACTACCTATTCCTGTCTGACATTCTGTTCACTGACTGAGCAGCCCGGGGAAAATAAGCGGGCACAGAAGATCTGTCTCGCTGCTGATAGCGTTGCGCACTCTGAAACTACATCACCTCAATTGAGACGACCGTGGAATCATGCCGGCTTCGAACGTCTCTCCATTCTCAGCGGGAGAAGGACCGCTCTGATGTGTTCTCCCGCGCAGGCAGTGACGATGGTTTTCCTGTGTGCACAAATGAGCACTTCCGTGGTATCCCTCTGGGCTGACAGGCTCTTAGACCATTCCTCTAGCCATCCAGAAGTATCCTGGCCGCGATATTCAGCAGGATGTTGCCGTCCAATACCGCTTATTACGCATCTTTCGCGCTCGGTGCAAGCATCGGTCTTGGGCTTCTCCGGACACTGTTTCCCATAAGAAAGCGGTTTCCGGGACCTTGGGGACTGCCCCTTCTTGGTATGATACCTAAGCATGATATACTGAGACTCTTGTTTACTTACGCAGGGAATACGCTCGACGTTCCGACGCGCAGAATGTGGGAGTGGCTCGAGAAAATCTACATCCGATTCGGTCCTATCGTCTCCCTGAACTTTGCCGGGGACAATTATATCCTGCTGAGCGATCCGGAAGATGCTGAAGCACTGGTATGCTTAGTATTTCGTTTTGGCTCTGATTCTCTTATCTAATACCGATGTTCAGCTTATCAAACGGTCCGCTACTTTCTCTGGACGCCCACAGAGCATATTTGCTGCCAAATATCGTTCAAATAACAAACGCATGCTCCTCCTTCCACATGGCGACGATCTCAAGAAACAGCGAGCTGTATTCAAGCTACTGCTGCGGCCCGAAGGTTGGCGCCTCACTCCCTTACATGCTTGAACGATGCTCAAAGTATTCACTAGCCCTCACCTCTCATCGACCACGCATCGAACAGCACACCACGAAGCTGTTACTTGATCTCATTGACGGTCCCCAAGATCCGGGCAAATATCGCGAGCATCTCTACCGCTTCACAGCTGGTCTGATCATGCGCATCACCTATGGATCTGGTCTCATCGGAGCGGACGAGGATTTGAAGGCGATTTTGGCTTCGAATGAGAGCTTCAATCTTGATGTATGTGATTCAACATCCATATACGGTGTTCTTTCTGAATGGCTGCAAGGCACTCCCAGGTGCCCATCTCGTTGAGTAAGGTCCTTGTGACAATTTCAGAAATTCTGCTTGAAGTCCTTCATAGCTCGTTTCCCATACTTGATCGACTACCCGACTGGCTGGCTCCCTGGCGTGCCGATGCTAAACGTAAACATATCGAAGAACTAGATGTGAGTGCTCTGATCTTCGCTGTTTGAAATATCCTAGTATTGACTCGCGTCATGTCAGCTGTTCGCTCGTTTAGCCATTCAGGTTCAAGAGCGCCGCTACGCAGGTGATATTGATGCACAAGAATCATTTGTTGCATCCGTCTGGGACGCTCAAGAAAAACAGGAAATTGATAACGAAACTGTAGCATATGTACGGGTCTCGAATGTTCTTCACCTCATCCACTGACTTCAGTGACCAGCTCGGCGGAAGCGCTTTTGAAGCTGGGTATTTCCAGCCATTTCACAACCTCGGTCTTGTTTTTCAGACTGTTGCATAGAACCTCTGTCACTGCATGCCTTCTGCATACATTTTTGCTAGCATGCATCTCAGAACCGGCATTTATTGCCAAGGCCCAGAACGAACTCGATCAGGTGACGGGATCGGACGAAATGCCGAGTTTTGCACATATGCGTAGATTGCCATATACTTGGGCCGTGGTCAAGGAGGCCCTCCGATGGATTCCGGTCACACCACTAGCATTTCCTCATCGATGTGACCTGGATCAAGAGTACAAAGGCTACATGGTCGGTCTCATTTGTCTGTTTAGTCTAGGATCAATCTCATCTTTGTAAGATTCGAGCGGGAACTTACATCATCGTGAGGCAAACACCAGATGTCTCGATGACCCGCTCACAGCCAGTCTAGCCTTCAATCTGGAATATGCATAAGAGTGCTCATGTGTTCTCCGAGGGTGAAGTATTCGATCCTATGAGATGGTACGATCCGGACGAGAATGGGTTTGTCAAGGATTCAGCTCGATTGAATGAGGGCCATTGGACATTTGGGTGCGCAAAGATGGACGCACACATACTACTTATCCAGATGCTGATTTTGATTGCTTGCCAGCTTCGGCCGTAGACAGTGTCCAGCGAATCTATTCGCTGTGGAAGTCTGCTGGCAGGCTATCGCCGGTCTTTTATGGTGTTTTGACATTACCAACGCAATAAGCCCTGTGACGGGACTACCCATTTCCGTCCATCCAGACACGACACCCTGGCTAGACGGAGTCAACATGTAAGCTCAAGTTGTAGCTCTGTGCGCGTCCGAGCTGAATTCCCATCGCAGAGAGCCAGCACCGTTTCCGATATCCATCCGTCCACGAAGCGAGGCACAAATAGCCAAAATCCGGGAGAAGTGGGCTGGTATTATCGCGTGAAGAATCGCACCCGATTTGAGAGACGAGCAAGTAAGAGCACTTGAATTTCGCTAAGGAAAATTCTATTATGAGGCGGGGTTTCCTCGGTATTTTGCATTAAACCTATTACTGTTTGACGCGGAGAGTGATGTCAAGAAATTGCGTTACTTACAACAGCAATAGAAACATCCTGAGTGAAAGATCAATTCATCATTGATGGTTACCGGACCGACCCGTGGATGATTAGATCAAAGCGGCACGTCAGCCGCAGCGCTGATGGCGGCTGCCCTGTCCTCCGAGTCCTCGATTCTGCTTTGTTCTCGACACTTCGATCGGCCCAGAACCCCACCATCCGCTTCAGACGCTGCTCTTATCTCGTCCTTTTTGGCTCTCCCTTATCCGTTCCCTCATCCTCTGGTTCCAGCCACGTTGTTTTCGGCCTCAAGACTCATAGACGGATGCGTCATAAATCCCATGCTCCCTGTGCTACATGAGAGGAGGAGCGTGACGGAATCTTCCGACATCCATTGTATCCATCACCCAACGAGATATGATCGAATGGGCTGGGAACAAGCTGGACGAGTAGGGAGCGCGTAATGAGAGGAGAGCTAATGCGGCTTCATAAGTGTTAGCCCCAAACCTGTACCTCGCGGTTTTCTCGGCTTGGAACACCCCGATGCTGGTAGATGCGATGCCTTCTGCCTCGTATTCGCCCCGTCGCCCGTTCTGGACACGTTATGCAAGCTGCCGTGCATCTGGTGCTGCACAGATGTCATGAAGTCTTGAAACGGTAAGTATTCCCTGAGCATGATGCACGAGCTGACAAGTTTCGATTGTAGGAATGGGCTAGGTACACTCCACGGTGCGGTGGATCATCTGGAACCGCCACAATCTCTATCAAGGGAAGAACGAGGGGGGGGGCTCCATCTGACCAATCCCCTTGCTCTGTTACACCTGATTCGTGACGGTACAATCTTGTTGGGCGTAGATGACGTGCAGTATCAGAAGGGCGAGTATCCTCCTCTAAGCATCGTGTTCAAGCTAACAAATGGTGTCTTCAGGGATGGGCTAAGAACCCGGACACGGCGCAACGAGGTCCTTCATAGTATCTATGAAACAAGCCCAAAGGAGGCACGTTACCGATACGTTCTCGTTGATCAACTAAGCCCGATGCTCATCCCCTTCACAGCATCTTTAGCCGGCAGCCCTACCATCATGGGCAGAGGGCGCACATTCAACAACAGAGAAAGAGTCCAGGAGCGATGAATGCCTGGAGGCCCTGGCCGCATATCGAAGATTCCCAGCTTATCTCGCTTGCGCGGCCACTCAATTCGCGGTGGATTTGGAATGCCGTGCATCACATATTGCGGTTGGATGGCCGACTGCGAAGGCTGGCGGGTTCGAGTTTGCGCAGAAAGAGATGGAAAAGCCAGCTTCTCGCAGGGCCGGAGCACATGTCGCTGGGTTAGCACATGTCGCTGGCTTCGAAATGGGCACCTACGACAACTCGGCGAACATCCACGTCGGGCTCCGTGAGACGCAGGCATTCCATACCCGCCGACCTTTACTGTGGATGTTTTCCGCTCAGTTGTTCTCTTTGCTCCAGGCGAATCAGGAGCCCACGGTCTCGCAAAGCTGGCCGGAGACCCAACACTTCCGCGTCCTCATCGATTGTACGGCAAACAACAACGGTGCGAAGGTCTGCGAATGTCCCAGAACGTGTCTTCAAATCCCTGCTGGGTCCAGGACTTTCAGCGTGTACCAGATTGCTAGGCAAATCACCCAATGTTTTGAGCTGCAGCGAGTACGAGTGTGGCACGGGGATGTCGCACTCGTTGCGGATGAAGTGGATCTGATGAATCGCGGTGGCCGGGGGTTGTCGGGGAGACGACACGAAAGCCCGACTGTATCTTTGCCGGGCGCCATCGTATTCACTTGGTAATTCACTGCCCTAGCACAAAATGCCTACCTGGAAGGGATGGATCTACAGAAAATTAGATAGACTTTCTACAGAACGGTAGCAGAAACCTGCGGATAGTGTGCATTTCTCACGTTTAGTTGAAGGGGTCAGCGCGATGTTTCCAGTTTCTATGTCCCGTCATCGTCGTCGGCGTTGTAAGTATGCGATCCACCGGCTCCCTCCCCCGACGTACAGATCAGTACATTCATCGTTGTTCCTTCATTCACGCCCACAGTATGGCATCATCGTGGTTCCCTGGGCGACCTTCAGGGCTGCGGCCGGATACTAGTATCTCCTTCCGGCCGACCCAACGTGGGTCAGCTTGTTCTGGCCCATTCCTCGAGTCGGCCGGTGAACGTGCTTCACGTTGGCTGCATCGGACAGACGCAGATGTGGAGTGGCTTCGAATACGCCGCTTGCAGCTTCTCGTACATCTTTCGCGTCGCAGCCCGAACGGGTTGTCGGCAAGCGTCAGAGTTCGCCAAAGATTCCTAACACGCTGGAGAAGTACCAACGGATCCAGGGCCTCTAATGGCAGAGGCTTCATTGACAAGCGATGCGGATGTGAGACAAGATGCGGACTCTGGCGGTTTCCGAGCCTGGTTAAGGGGCAGTGCTGTCCCTCACAAGTCCGAAGGATTGAGGTCTGATTTTGCGCATCGCGACGAGAAAGGCCCATCATGCAGACGTCGGCATCGGTCGTCTAAGGACATGGCCGAGCCCTGCCGATGGCAGGTAGGACAAAGATAGGCGAGCGACGACCGAAAGCACCCGTTTTCGCTGCCCGTTGGTCTTATAGCGACACATCGGGCCGCAGCGCACCGTCAGACAGGGCAACGGCAGAGCAGACTACGATCAAATGTGAGTGTACAGTACAGATGAGAGTGCTGGCGTGGGCCATACTGTAGAAGTGCGTAGGTCTCGATCTGTGCGACATTCGGTATGTGGCTGAATGTAGAGTGTCATAGAATTGCGCCCCTGGTCTTCGCCAGAGTGATCCCGGCCGACTAGGGAGCCAGCTGAAAGGTCCGCATGCGAACAGCGATTCGGTATTGGGAAGTGAAAGCCTGCGACAAAGCATCGGATTTCCGGTCTCTCGTAGCCCTGGCTTGATTAGGGAGATCTTGCTGGCAAGCGATGGTCATCGGGAACTTGATCAAGGCAAGATTGTCTTGAAGATGATGCCGTATGTGCGCTGAAGGACATCGGTAAAGCAGTCGATAGGGCAGGAAAGAGCACGCACTGCCCATATCTAGACGCAGCATCATCTTTACGTCCGAGTGGGCGACCTCCACAGGCGGCAAGGTACACGGAAGAGAGGAACCCGTGATGCCCAGAAGCGAATCCCCCAAGATGAAACGAGAGTCAGCCCTACAATCAAGCGGAAGTCCTGCGGGCTTCCATTGTCCACATTCTGAACTGTCGGAAGAGGATTTTGCATCATTCGTCGACACCGGTGGGGTTTCACGGGCCGCACCAGAAGCACTTGAACGCCCGTAGGCAGCACCGGATTGCCTTAGTCCCTTCTTCAATCTGAGAATGCGCGAGCACCAGTAGCGCTGAGTGCGGAAGAACAGTGCTTTTCCAGCTTCGGCCATCAACGCATGAAACCCATCCGAGCTTCCGGGTAGCATATCCGCAGTAAGTGACAACACATCCGGCGCCAGCCAGGTGGTACGCGCCCTCGTCTCTTATGATCCAGAAGGAGACAAGATACCCCGGGCTTCTCGTGCTTGCGAACAGGCAGAAAGAGGAGGTAGTGAACGTATGTCGGGAGTGAGAACGCATGCGCTGCACCCGTTGCGCCAGATTACGTCGATATTCAGAGCGGACTGCTGCTGTCAATCTTGTTGGTGAGTGCCAAGGCGATGGCAGTGCGCGACGCGAGCACGAAGGGCCGAGGAGCGGCAGGGAGAGTCGGATGGTCGGTTTGCATCCGACAGAGCCGCTGTGTTGTGCGACATGGTCTTGAATACATGAGATAGCGGCCAGTGTGAGGATTAACGACGAAGCAGGCATACTGCATTGTTACCAAGCCGTTCTTGCTCTTCTAAATGGGTTTCACATCATCATCCCGTTCTGCTTCATGCAGTTGCTTCCAACGGCAGCAAGAAAAGCGCGACGAAAAGTCGGACGACAAGGCAGGTCCAGTTACCCGTTGGACGCTCGTCAGTCGATTGAGTCCAGATAGGTAAGGTGAGGCTGACGCATGCAGGCCCTGGACGGTGCTAAAGGTCGTGCTACCACAGCGTGGAAATCTTGGCCTATGTGACCTAGAGTAAGGGCTAAATTAGCCCAGGTGCACGATTGCACAGCTACTGCAGGGACACCCTCTCTGCGCACTTTGAACTGAAAACGGAGTCCGGTGCGAATATGGTCCAAGTAGGTTTGGCTCAGCAGGGCTAGCACGCTTGATCGTCAAAGCTTGCGGAGATATACGGACGTCAATGCAGACGAGCAAGCGCATCCCACAAATCTGAGCATAGTGAGTTAAATGCTCGGGATCGGAGAAGCATCGAGTCAGAGCTGGTGAAGAAGAGCATACGCACAGTCCCAATGACCACACTTCGCCGACGAATCCTCCCAGCACCATCAGTCTTGCGTATCGACCGGTCGACTTTCCCGAAAGAGAGATGGCCAGATATCGCAGCTCGATAAGGAGGAAAAGATTCGGTGGAATGGCACGCAGAAGCGACGCCTGCGATCCGGAACAGAGCAACACTGACGATCAGGACTACTTTTCGGGTCATGTGCCTCCCAATGCGTCCTCCATCATCTTTTACGTCGCCGTGTGGGCCCTGCTGCATCAGATCGCCCCAAGACTTCCAAGACTGTGTTATTCATGGGTCCTCGAACACGTTCAAGCAGGCTAGGTGTACAAGAAAGAGAGGAAAGATGTGTGCCGGTAGCAGGGAAGTCGATGATCGTTTGTCTAACATGCGTGCCAGCAGCTCCCATGCCGAAGTTCATCGACTGCCGTCCATCCACCTTTCAAAAAACCAAAGAAATTGTTGCGTGCGGAGCCTTTCGCCGAATATGCCATGGAACGCCAGAAGAGGAGAGATGTTCTCAACAAAGTAAAAACAGCCAAGCGATGTGGCAATGCAGTATCACGGTCATGTGACAAATCACACGCTTGTGCTGAGCCAAGATACTCTCACTATTGTGAACAAGACCGCGAAATCTGTTCATTTGAACTTGAAAGCGGGGCATGGAGCCCTTTATAATTATAGCTAGGATGAGTGTGGAATCATACTGAGCATTTAATTTGATCGAAGCCCAGTGCATCGGAAGGTTCGATTGAATTCTCCGCGTCAAATTGTAGGTATCTCCTCTGATGACTCCGTTCAAAATCCACCAGAAATTGCGTAGAAGCCGTGTAAACACGAGGGGGCGGCTCTGTGAGCGCTGCCACGCTGCGTTCAGTATTCCGATTCGTCATTCACCTATCATGCTCATTCTCTGATTGGTTCAGGTCCAGTTCTCTCAGCAGATGTGCCCGAGTTCGAAAGGAAGAGTCGTCTTTCTGATCACTGTTCCCTCACTTAATTGCATCTGCTTGCGTGGCATGCGCAAGCACCCTCTTCTCGTGAGAATCCGGCATTCCAAATGACTCTTCACCGCACACGTTTCTGGGCAGATTCAGCTTCTCCTTTTCCACTCCAGGTGGACATCTTATGATTAATATGTTTGACGCTCGTTGGTTCGGCTTTGGCCGAAAGGTCCTGCAAGAATCCGACAGTTGACTCAATCACACGACAAAGTCGTCTACTGAGCGCGCAAAACCCACCACTTCTCTCGAGTAAGCGTGATTATTGGAGCCAACGGTCAGAGTAAAAACGTAGATATAATCAGCCACTCATGCATGATGGGTTAAATATCCTAGGCTCTGATGATGAATGATGTCCGAACGCAGAACTAATTGTTTTGTCTGCCGCTGTGGGGTATAACCGCATATCCTGCTTCCCTTTCAATTTTTGGGACCGGGCTTGGCCGAGATATCAGGGTGATTCCCATGAAACACCGGCAGAACCTGCAAGCACCGTCCATGTCGTCGAGCTCCCACAGAAAGCTTCGTCGCCTTCTGTACATGTCAGCAGCCCTTATCTCTAGCTAACACATGTGAAATCTGCGCGGTGGATCGACCCTGGATGCAGATCCTCGACGCATGCCGAAAGACACACTCTCCCACGTCTTTCAAGGGACACGAAGGATCGGTCAATAACTAGATGGAGGGCTACGCTATTCACATACTTGATTACCGAACAGTTCCGCGACGATCTGTATCGAACGTGCCGCAATCTCGACGAAGGATCGAGCCGAGTCTCGATCATAAATTCACCTTCGGGAAAGTCTCCAGATCGGGGCCATCAAGACATTCAACACTGGGTCTGCTGGACAACGTTGATTGCAAGATACACCGAGCCGACCTATACATGGGACCTTTGACATCAGCTCCGCATACGAGTCAGTGCAACTCGCACACGAGCTAGGTGATGGTCAAGTCAGTACATAAGAATCTACAGCCAGAGCCCACAAGTTGACATATACAATTGACAGAGACACGGTAGAGGTAGAACAGTCGCGATATAGTCTTACATCCATTACTGCTTAAGCTTCGTTTTAGCCCAATCGACGAAATCGTCAATGGCCGACGGCCAGGCGGCTTCGATATCGTATGTCTGGAAACGGGAGTCGATCGTCCTGACGAAGTCAAGGAACTACGAGAAGCAAGTCAGAACAGGAATGTCGAAAGGGACCAAAAGAAGAAGCTGCACGCCAGCTGCGATGCAACACATGCCCACATCAGTGCTGCACCTGGACATTGACAGCGAGAACAGACGTATCATGTCGCAACAGATCGGAGCAGCGAGCCGATCTCGAACAATCTCGAGCAGCTCCCAAGGAACCGACACGACAGTGTCAAAGTCTCCAGAATGACGTTTCAGTCAACACACACAACAGGGGAAGCGGGGGAGAACCCAGTGCGAGCAGCTTTGAATGCTTGATCTGGCAGCTAGTATGCACGTCAAGTCCAAAGGGGACGTGCTGAACAGAAGAGCATGTGCATCAGTAGCACTCTGGAGTGGCGCTCGATGCTGGACAGCAGCAACATGCGATTCGCCGGACGGGAGCAAAGATATGAGGACTGGAAAGACAGCGTCGTGACTTACCATCACCCAAGTGTCTTTGCTGACGCCCTTGCCGCCCTTTTCGTTCAGGAACTCAAACCACCAGTCAACAAATTGAGGCTGCCATCCTCCGTCACCAGTCATATCGCTGGCACGAAGGGTCAGGACCAGAGGAGAGGGTGCATGACAGATGCTACTGACCTGTCTCCAGACGAATCTACATGCGAGAGCGCAGCACCTGACATGCCATGAGGCAGTAGTAGGGACCAGAAGGCCTGGGCTGTGTCAATAGCTGTGGTATACACCGGTGAGTCAATCGGAATCGATCTGGGGAAGGAACCGAAAGCCCACCGATACTCCTCTGTCCCTCTGACTTTGCAAAGTCAAAGGTGTGATTGTACACCTTCTGGAAGTACGCTGCATCTTGAGCCAGCTTCGCTTTCAGCTTCGGAAGCGATGCCTTCATGGCTGATAGAGAGTCGCATCTGTTTGTATGATCGCATGCGATCGGGTAGCGACGACCGCGCACAGATAAGTAGAAGAGGAGCAGTATGTTGAGCATTGATGTAAAACAGAAAAGGAGCCGCCAGACTTGCCCCAGGTTCTTCCATCCTTCCGTCCACCCGGCGCGATTCCATTCGCCCACGCGGGGACTCTTCAGCTCGTACGCAACTGCCAGCAGAACTACGTCCTCAGGGTCGACGCCCAAATCTGCACAGAGCTGTATGGTCCCGTTGACGGTGATCTCCACCCCATCGGGGTCTTTGTACTTGTCGAAAAGCGAATTGAGCTTGCTGGTCGAGGCAGCGACGACAGGTGTCTTCACGCCAGAACCGAACACACGCGGGTCGCGAGGGTCATTGAAATAAGCATCGATAGCGACATCGGAGCGCTTGTACGCTTCCAGAAACTTCTTGGCGTCTTTGACGCTGGTCGGGCGGGGGCTTGGTCAGCATCAGCGGCGGGTGGGCCCAGAACGCGACGCACGAGGCTCCGGTGACACCGCAGAACTGGGCGATATTCTCCTCCATCTTGCGGTCAACCATCGCAAGTCGGTTTGCGTGCTTGAATGAGCAATGTATGAGGTCGAAACGATCGAGCGGATAAGGAAGGTGGAACACAAGCAGGATGGGTTCGTAAGACCGCGGTCCAGGCCGAGAGGAGAGCAAGATATCACACACTCTATATAGAACAATGCGATACAAGAGAGTCGTCAAGAGCGCGAAACCCGCCCAAAGCGACGTCGTTGACCAGAGCAGCTTGAAAGTAATGTCACACCTGTGACTCGGCAATTCCCACACGCCGACTTCGGAGATCGGAGCACTCAAACCACGCACAGTTCCCGTGAATGTTCCTGTGTGGTACTTGGTACTTCTCGAGTTCTGTTAAGTATTAAGACTGACCTGCGCTCGAGAGCGAGAAGCGACAGACCAAAATTCGGCCTCAGAGGTCTTGGCTCTCCACGTCAGCATGAACTTACATTGCTTTGACAGCGCCAGTTCCAGGTGCCTTGAAATCTTCAGATCTATCCATCGGAGATCCATTACTGCAGCGCTTTCGCTTAATCTTCCGAAAACGAAGCCGTTGGCGTTAGATAAATTTCTTGACTGTTCAACCGCCGTTGTCTATGTCTGCTGGAGCAGTCTCTTTTTTCTAGAACTTGAACGCGATCCATTTTTTCGATATCAAACTTGTTTTCCTTTTACGAACTGGATATGCAAGCATCACCCCCGCGCGCAATTCAAGCAACTCAATCCCTTCGGCACTGTCGGCAATCTCCGGTGTTTGATGGTTTCTGTCAAGTCGACCAAGCCCTCGGCGAATTCCCACGAGGCAGATCTGCTTTTTACCCGTTCATCTCGATCTGTTATGGACGGATTGAGAGGCAGCCCGATATGGGATACGGACCGCGCGAAGAAAATACGACTTACGCCATCTGCTGAGCCTCAATCTTGTTTCTTACAGCACATCTTCTTTGGCATTTGGCGTCTTCTTGTACCAGACCTTCCTTGGGCGGATCCGGTAACGAGGAGCATAAAAGCGGGACGGGGAGGAGAAAACATCCCCTTCGACATCGCCTCCGCCTGATATTTGGTATGTCCCTCCGCCCTCATCCACTGTCGCCGGGGCTGAGCGCCGCCGTCAGTCACCGCGCTGTGTTAATGACAACGCCTACCCTGAGTGCCACGCGGAGCACGAGCACGCCCTCTAAGAGCTTCAGCCTCCGTCCCGTGTCCACCTCTACTCCGCCCTCGCCCACCGGCACTAACTCTTCTCCGACCACGACAAACGCGACAACAGTGACAACACCCATCTCCCCCGCCAACACAGCAAATACCAGACGTCTTCGCGAGCTTGATATTCCGCCCATGGCTGCTCACTCTCGGGCCCATTCCGTCGATAGTCCACAGCTTTCTTCGCCCCGCGCCTCATCTCACCCTGGGCGACCACGCGGCCTTACAGGTCACGACCTCATGGCTCTCTTCCCTCCCCAAGCACCCTCACTAGACGAACTCCGACCCGGCCCGACGAGTGGGTGGTTTGCTCGGCAAGAGCGGGCCTTCTTTGCCCGGGGGACCATCGGCTTTGGAAACCCCACTGGCGAAGATGAGTATGCGGGACCGAGCGCAGGAAAAAGACGCGCGGAGAGGCCCAACAGCAGCGCAGCTGGCGGGCGAGATCGAGAGCGCGTTGCGTTACCTCCGTTCCCCCTTCCGCCTCATCCGCAGCCTGGTGCAGGGCCTGGCCATCATCTCCCGGCGCACCAGGCGCGCCAGTCGCATGCATCGCCCCGGCTTCCACCGCCTGACGTACCCCCGTCCGCATCGTCTCCATCGCACCCCATAGCCGAGGACATGGACTCTGACGATGCGTGGCGGCGACCCATGGCATTGAACGAGCGCAGGAGGTCCGGGAAACATACTCGGCGGGTCGTCGTACATCGGGCGTAGCGATTCTGGTGTCGCCAATGCCGGCTCGATGCTGCTCGCGGCTTCCTCACTACTCTCAAGTAGGCCGCTTTGACGTGACTACTCCACTTTCTCTCCGTCACCGTTGCCGTTCTCCCCGTTTTACGACCGCTACAGCCCTGCCGCTTCCTTTGCTTCCCTTCTCGCTATCCTCATCTCTACTTGCACGGTACATATACGCATAATCACAGCACAAATGTAGCATTATCGAGCCATCCCCTTTTGTCCGTCCGTGTTACGTATGTCGGTCACTGGCCTTACGACCCTCCGCGCACAGTGAACTCACGAATGTAAGACGTCAAGCCCAGTGTTTTGATTTTGATGGACATAACGTAAGTGTCGACGTGCGAGGTGCTGGATTGGCCTTGTCACTGGGGGAGGTGTCTCGCTGCCGAGAAGGTTGCGGTCGTGTCTAGTGTGGCGCAAAACCCTGGGAGAAGCATCGGAATCGAGATATACGGCGTCTGTGCGTTTGAAGAGCACGCTCCGTATGCATCCTTTTCTTCTCTTGAGATGCCTACTTGCCCTACTTGCCACCGGCAGCTGGAGCTCCCAGGTAGCCGAGTAAAAGTCACGCAAATCTCATCATGATCGATCCTCTTCTCCACTGCTTGATTCCGTTCATTTACATGCGGTGGCGTAGTCTGAAACCGGAAACACTACTCACGACGTCAAAGTTAGGTATCAATTCTACTTCGATGTTTTTCTCGTACAAGCATATATACTTTAATTTTTTGTAAACGTCAATCGAATCCGTGGTTTGTCCTGGAATTGATTCTACCCGCGTAAATACTATCATAGACAAAACCCCCCGCACAGACGATAGAGACTTGGCCAACGCTTCTGCTGGTAGCTGAGAAAGTCATGCCGAATGAGTCGATGATCGCGCTGTGAATCAGTCAGAAAGGCAGATTTCTGGGCGCGGTGTTGATAGCGACTTGCATACACGTGGCTCCGGCCGATATGTCTTCCATGCACGGACATGAAATCGCACAAAAGGCTCCGCAATGGATCCAGGGAATGCTAATCACAAGCCCATCCACCCATCACGACCAGCGAGGCAGCAGCGCTTCCACGAAGCTTTTGCCGAGTTTTCGCGAAACCGCGTGAGATTTTGCGCCCTGCTTCGAATGCAGGGGACGTATCATTTATATGTCCCCCCGTCTGAGTCCGACCGCGACGGGTTGGTTGATGCTCATCAGGCATATGAGAGATCAAGTCAAGTCAACAGAGGACCTGAATGATTGACACGGCGCTATGAAGACCTGTCAAGAATCTTGCAGACTCTCTCCGAGGGAGTTGAGAGGACCTTCACATCGGATCGAGCCGCCTTAGTGGCTCCATCGATGGCGTCAGTATCACGCAGCTCAAGCGGGTATCACCCTGGCGCTGTCGCCAATACCTCGATAAAGCCCAGTCTCGAACACGGATGGGTTTCCTAGTAATCTTTTGTCCCCAATCTCGATCACGCTGGCATCTTCATCAACCGGTGTCTGCGGATCGGACGTCGCATCTGGCAGTAGAATAGAACGGACGGCAAGACAATGAGGTGAGGCATGATATAGTTTCAAGCACCAACGATCAAGTTGAGTCACTCCCGCGATGCTGATTGACAGAGGATCGAGCGTAAGGTCCCCGGCTTACTTTGTCTGGCGTGTAAATGTGGTAAGCCCCGATGACGGTCCGTCCCATTCGATTCCAATCGCCGATGGCTTGTCCGGTGCTGGGGACCTGAGGGTCAACGTGCGGTCAGAAGTACTTCATTTCGTTAGCGTTCACATCCTTGGGATCCATAGCCCAAGGAGACCATCCTGCATCAGGTCAGGTCAACAAGAAACATGAGTTCACACAGTGCATTCGAATGGATCAGCCGACAGCCGCGGTAGGCCGCAGTAGACAAGACATCGGGACGTATTAAGCACGGCATGCCACTGCACATAAGTACTTGAGCTTCGGGGACTGAAGGTCTAAAGCTGGCGAGATCTGCGGCATGTTACACGATTTATGCAGTCGCCTGTCCTTCGGATCGCTCTCGATGATGATTGGTGATTGCAGAGCGCCTGTGACAAAACTCTGCGTGGAAAGTAGTGAGACAATCCATAGATATCCGAAGCCAGCGGAATTGGGATGAATTTCCACGGGCTAACATACCGGGGATGCTAGAAAAGGGGGGATGAGCTTACCAAAATACACCATGACTTGAACCGCTCCCCTGTAAAACCGAGCCGAGTCGCTTATTGTAGAATCGAGACGAGCCATTGAGTCTGGACTTGGCCCGGGTGGTATCAATTCATCTGGGCGGAAGTTGGGAGGTTCGGTGACACGGGAGATGATGATCTTCAAGACGAAAAACGGGTCACGATCAACGCCTGGAGGAAGGTCACCTGCCGGCCTTTCACGTGGTTCATCAATTGCGATCATTGACAGGAGCAAACAGCCAGAGCTTTCCTTCGACGGTTATGGCAGCCAAATCACTGAGCACGAGCACGCTCAGTCTCAAGTTCATGCAGAATGCCTACCGTGCAAAGAATGTACAACAAGTTGAGCTCGACAAGGCGGAGGTCAGAGATGACGGGGAATGGGAAATAGGGCAGGAAATGCGCGATGCATGGGGCATGGGAGCCGGAGAAACCTCAACGCGAGTCCGGCCATCTCGCTAGCTTTCTGCCACTGATTCCGAAATATCTATCATCATCTTTTCAATTTTTTACCGCGACCGACACTCCAATGCAGGCAAGCTGTCAGCTATGAAGCGTCGTACCTACCGTTCCTGTTCGCGTCAGACGATGCTACGGATCACTCTCCCTCGGCGACCAAGTCTCCGCCAAAAGGCAGACGAGTCTTCAAGAGTGGGCGAGAGATTTCTGGGATCGAGGTGCGTGTCTGTTTTCTCATCAACTCACTCCCACTCGGCACCGACGTCGATCGCGATAGCCCACCGTTGCTACGGCCCAGCATCAAGGACCGGAGTCGAAATCCGCACAGCACTCATCATCTTCCAAGCCACGACAGATCTCTTCCGGACAGGGTCAGGCAACTCGTGATTCTTGGAAGGCAAAGCCTATGAAGCCGACCCGAAAGTCGGCAAGAGATGCGATCTTCGATAACTCCGCCGTCAGCCTAGGCCCGAGGCAAACAAAGATGTCGAATTCACAAAACACCCATTCCGGATTCATGAAACCCGACCGCGTCGACGAGCCGACTCACAAAACCGACAGCGTCAAGGTCAAGCGACCGAGAGCGGCAGATTCGACTGAGCCTGACGGGCCGGTTGATAGTCGGAAGAAGAAAGTGAGAAAACAGAGAAGTGCGGAATCGGATGCAGACGAGCAATGAGTCTTCACTCTTCGATTAGCAGGCTGCTAATGAATTAGACCGTGCAACTGCTCCAGAACGCTCCAGTCAGTAACAGGTGCCAGACTCGAGGAAAATTCCGCGTACGGAAAGGTATCGAGGTATCGAGTGAACCGTATCTCCTTTGTAACCAGGTCGTGTTCAGATCCAATTCGAGAGCAAACAACTCACCAGGATAGTCGAGACTCGGTACGATTGTGATCTCTACATGCTGCGTGAATCGATGGTAAGCAAGACGCAAACTGTCAACCGCTTATCGGAGACGGGTCATTGGCCAGTTATTTCCATTCTGACCCGTTGCGGAGAAGCGAGGCTGAGAAGGCGATCGTCCTCGTTGCAGGCATCCTTTCTTTGCATCGACTTACAGCGGCAGGCTATCGATCAAGCTCAGTCTCCGAACAAACGTAGCCTTTAAACGCGTTACAGTCGGGCTAACTGATCGGCACCGGACATTCTCGAAGCAGATTCGCACGCGCGCGGTCATGACCGGTGAATGTTCTTCCGGTCCACAAACTAACCCATCGTTCTCGCCGATTTCTCCTAGTGCGACTTCGGGGCTGACATGTCTCGACAAGCGGTGTCGAAGATCAGGCGCACCGCCGCATTTTGCCGCTTCGAGAACAGCCGTGCCATCGTTCAGAGGCTCGGCGCCGGGAGGATTAGATCATTTGCTTGGTGAATGCGCGTGTCAGAACGAGGTGATGATCTCGCGGATTTAACGGGAGCTCGCAGGCCAAAGGCCCCGAATTTCGGGCGTTTCGATTATGCTGATGTTCTATCAACGGAAATACATGCATGGAACGATTTACTACCATTGTGAAGCTCAGGGTCGGTCGACCAGGATCTTGGACCGGAGATCCACTCCGGATTGCAAGAAGGAGAATTCAGATATCGGACATGACACCGTGACGACGGTAGCGATTCGCCGCCAGTTGTCGAGAACTACAGGAATACGGAACCTAGCCGTCCTTGGTGACCATTTTTCGACGCCTTCAGTGAATTGTTTCAGAAGAGCTCGGCCAAGCCTTCTAGGGCCATGTGGATCGAGATTGTGGCATGAGCTCGTCAAACTTTGGTACATCCATTGCAGGATTGAAGAGAGCGACGCTCGCATCCGGAGTCACATCCAGCGAGACCGGGTGCCGAGCCCCTAGTGAACGTGGACTATCTTGTGGTACTAGGGTATCTGCAATGAAGACACAAACAACACGTGATCTAGGATACGGATTGTGAAAGAAAGAGTCCAGAAAGGTTCAAGAGAGACGAAGAAGAAAAAAAGTGCTAGTCGTGTGTCCAGAGAGGGGGTTTCTCAATGGCAAAATAACTGCCTGAGCACGCGGGGACAGAACGAATGGTCGACAAGCACTCTGCTGATTTGAGCGGCCTGCTTTTCTCAGATATAGTGCTTCGACTCACGAAATTTGTCCGGCGAATGATTTCGAACCTAGTGCTAACCACACTAGTTTCTCAATCGTTGCCGGGATTTGTGCTTCATAGGTGGCATGCACGTAACTCATGTTAGCCGCAACACCTGGATCAATGATGTGCCATCCATACGTCATACGTCTTTCCTCTCGGATTCTGGTTTCACACTTGTTCATAAGTGGGTTCTGGAATAAACTCAATCAGTCCCCAAGTTGATGAAAAATATTCCTGTAGTGAGACCCAGATTCTTACCATACTCCTAGCTTAATTAAACTATCTCTCAATCACTCGCCGGCATTCGATCACGACGCAGACGTCGGGAATGGGAGCGCATGGCACAGGTAATGCATACAATAGGCAATACGTATGGAAATGGAACGTAAGAAAATTGTTCATTCACCTCGCAGATTTCGAATAGCACCCAGAAATCAATTCTCTTTGAGAAGTCAATCTTTCGTTGTGCCTGGAATTGTTCCCCAAGCCGGAGTCCGGCACGGCCTCATTTCCATCCTCGGGCGAATCGACTCAGCGTCCCAGATGACGAACGTATTTGATAGCGAGAGTCAAAGAACATACAGACTGCGCCAACGAGATGTCTGCCCGATGACTGAGCGGGCCCTTAGTCTGTGATATTTCTGAGTATAAGAGAAGCCGTCGAAGGTGGTCAACCTGACCCCCACTGCCCTGTGGAGTAGAGCGTGTCCTGTGATAGTGGATGAGCGAGACTGATGACTAGGAATTCTAACACAGCCTTAGAAGTTCGCGGGGCAGTGAGGATGACTCAGAGCGTTTATGCGTAAGAGCAGTCTCTAGCCCTAAAGGAGACTACTTATCTCATCTGCCATGCTTTGGAGCACCGATATTAATCGTGGCGCGGGTTCCTCCTGGCTCATAGGTGAGGTGCCGTGTCAAATTATCAAAGGACGCAAGAGTGATTGCCGTGATCGGTCTGATGAGCTGTCATGTCAATCGAATTTGCTATGTCTCGTTGACTTGGCGTCGAAACCCGTTTGACCTTCTCCGCCTCTCCCCTTGTCTTTTTTACTTTTTTGCTGATCCTTCAGGACTCCTTCGGCCTTCCCTTCCAGCCCGGCTCATGGACAAGGATTGAGAGGAGATCCCCCATTTATGCATGGCCGCCCTCTACCTTCACAACTCGATCTGGATTCCTGAGACTCCCGATTCGGTGACGCCTACCCATGCGCCTCACACGAGAACCATTTCTGCCGCCACCATTCAGAGTCTGCAAAGCTCCGACCAGACTCACCGACCTCTCCTGACCCATTCGGCTTCCTTCGACTCCGAAGCGTCTGTCGCGTACCTCGACCTCTTGTCGCGCCAGCCAAGTCATCCCAACGAGCCTCCGAGCACGCCTTTCTCATTGCACTTTGATGGAGACCCGACAAATGCGCGTAGCGAAAAGGAACGTATGGATAGGCTGGTGCGGAAGCGATTGAGGGGACTCAAACGGGCAATGGCAGTGATGGAAATTATCATGGGTGCGTGTTCACAGGCTACTGATACGCATTTCTCACCATTAAAATAGTCTGCTGGTCGGTATACACGACCGTGCGGTACTTCCTCGCTTACACCACAACGGGCAAAGCTGAGGCACTGGCTCTTGGGACGTGCAGTATCGCCGCTTTCGCCGTGATCGTTATCTCTTCTTCGATTCCTCTCATTCAAGACTATGCTCTACGGTATAAAGGTTCCGTCGGTCTTCTTCCGACCCTGCGTCACTTCCTCCGTTTCTTTGCATCGTTCCTTCTCGTGTCACCCGCTATCGTCAACTTGGCACTGGTCGTTGTGTGGAAGGATAACACACTCCGACGATGTAAGCTGGACATCGATGTGGTCTGGCATGATGGCTGTTCTTTCCAGGGGGCCTGGTTCACATTGGTTGTAGTGCGGATGATTGTCACACTGCTGTTTCTGGTACGACTGCCTGTCCATCTATTCAAGGACTTAGTTTGCTCATGAAGGACTTCAGATTGTCTATCACGTCTGCGTTCGAGCATATCATCACACGCGACGGCCCTCCCGAAGGAAACCCTCGGTTGCTGGATCTACAACCGTCGGCTCCCCGCCAATGTCAGCAGATCCATTGCTGCCGCCTTCCCACAGTCATCAACCCTCCACGTCCACCATAACGCATGCCAATTCGCAGCGTCGCTCTCTACGCAGCTCTCGCACTCCGTCCGTGAGGACAACCCCGTCGCCCTCTTCGGAAGACGCGCGTTTGCCGCAAGAAGATGACTTCGATCCCTATGCCGAGCAGCCAGACTCTGCAGACGAAGGGCTGCATACATTCGTCGAGCGACTCCGCTCACTGGTCGCGCAGGCACGAGAAGACGAGCAAGAACCCAGATTGTCGGCGCAATTGGCGGAGCCTGCGTATCGAGCCAGCATCGGTTACGACGAATTTGGCCGCCCGTATCCCCCAGAGGAGCACATCCGGATTCTCAACTCGTACATCCGACGAATGCCTACCATCGAGAGCATTGGCTCCAGAGAGATGACCATGACAGCAGGGACGAGCGTCGCCGCATCTTCATTGTATCAGGAACGGATCAGTAGTCTTCACACTGTTTCCCGCCCGCCGACGAGAGCGATGACGGATCGGGACACGCACAGCGATGGGACCCCGAGCCGGGCGAACAGCCTGAGCTTCAGTATTGCGGAACTCAGGGCGGCGACGAATGCCGGACTGACGCAGGAAGGGCTTGCGCAGCTCGGCGAAGTCGTGGGGAGGGTGAAGCGGTCCGGGAGTGTCAGCACTGGTGTCAGCACGGGGACCGGTACTTTCTTCAGCTCTTCGTCTCCGCTCCAGACCCCCATCGTGGAGGAGCCTTTCGAGGAGTTCCCAGGGCCTCTTGCAGCAACACCGTCCACTGTCCGTCCTCCCAGGCCGCTCCCACGACCTCCGAGTCTTCCTCGTGCGGATTCAATCTGACTTTCGTGGCATAACTGTTTGTGATATCTGTGTATACTCTTGCACGTACTTATCTCTCATTATATGTATCATTTGTACTGTCTCCCCAGCTCGAACTGGCCATGTAGAAGCTCTCGCGCCATCCAATGACTAATCGTCTGCACTTTCGGCCTTGCTGGATTTGCTAGTATCTATCGCACCTCCAATTGGGACCATAGTATCTTTTCGAGACGCCGGCCTCATTCCTCGTCCGAAAAATTTGAAAAAAGCGTGAAATCTTGGCTAATGGTCTCAAAAATGAAAGCGCACGCCGGCGTCCCACTTCCGGTCAATTGTCTCACATCCAATCCCGCGGAGGGTCTCAAAACGATCAATTCCCATCAGCGCGTTTGATGGGACGGAGACGCAGAGGTCACTTCACTCAACATTCGTATTTTTCTTGCACGTAACATTAGCTGCATATTTGAGGATATTAGATTCCGAATTTTACGGTCTTAGCATCAACGGCCCTTTCAGAATATCACGATCTCTCCGCCCAGCCATCAGTTGAAGCCAACAGCTCAATATATGGGGACGCAGGGGGTCTGTGGGCCATATAAGACAGCAGGAAGTTCTTATAGAATCTTATAATACATATCGCTCACTCAAAATAATACATATACTGCGTTATGGAGAGTACGAGACGAGATAACCTCGTCGAACATCTCTCGCGTCACCTCTTGTCACCCCGTCACATCACCCTGCACCATCATCGCTCTGCTCGTACATCCGACCAGGTCACCGCGGCCACCAACGAACGGGTGTGGGATGGATGAGCTGGGGAGCTAGGGCTTGGTCTTGGGCGGCAGAGGGATTAGGGCGAGTGGAGGGAGAGTTCAGGCGAAGAAGGGGACTACAGGTGAGTACCCACCATGCCAGCTCACCCAACCCTCAGATCTCGAGCCAACACAACGCCTACGGCAGACGCGCATACACCTCCCTCACGCCACTATCGCCCGACGCGTGCGTTCATGCGCGCAAGGGCGCTCATAGGCTACATGTCTACGTAATAGTTCTTGAATCCATTCCTGCTATATGCGGCTTCTATCGCGGTCGGCGCTGTTCTGTCCGCCCTGGGCTTCTCAGTGGACAACTTGGGCCGGATTCTGACGCACATGTCTGCCCTTGAGCTCTCTCGTCGTCGCAATGCCCCTCCATGAAATGTTTCACTGTGAGCTATATCAGGCTGATCTCTCTCTGGATGGGACCACTGCAAAAAAAGATGGCCACGTATTTCATCAGGCTCAGCTCGGAGCCATGTTCCCGGACAACGCGCAGACCTTTATTTTCAATTGCAACGACGCGGGCGTTTTCTCGTGTACTCGGTGTGCGCACACACATCCCAATGCAAAAACCTTTGGAGTCAGTCCGACAGATACACCGCTGTCCGACATCTCACACTTCACAGGACCATTTGCGTCGTCCGGGAAGATGCCCGGCGCATCTCAGAGGCAACCAGCCAATCCATTGCGCAACCGCTTCGCTTTCTGCGCCTATCGGCACAACCGAGCACGCGGAGGAAGCGTCTGCCACTCCTCTGTCGCTGTCGCCACTTTTTCGAACGTATGGGGACACGCGGTCCTCCTCGATTACACCGCGTCGAAGATCCGTTTACCGATCCGCCGGGTTAGCGGGCCAGAAGACGGTGGCGGTCCGCATGCCTTCGCACCCCGTCGCGCGCGTGCTCATTGCCCTCCCCTCGCCGCGCTGGTCGCGAACTCTTCGGGCAAGCCAAGTACCACACGCACGGAGCACGTCGTGCACAGTCTCGAGGGGCGCGTTGCGATCGTCCTGGACGGCGGGGCGGGCAGCCTGGGGGTGGGGAGCACTGTCGTCGACGGGCTGCATCCGGACGGCGCGATCCGTGTGCTGCAGCCGAGTGGTGTGACGGTCGAGGACCTGGAGCGCGTCATTCGGGAGGAGCTGGGCGAGGAGGAGAGGGAGGCAGTGCCGCGGGTTCTGGTTCATCGATGCGATTATGCTGACGAGGTGATCGAGAGCACGCCGACGACACCTGGGATGAAGTACCTGCACTTCTTCGACCACCACTTCCTTCTGGCGGACAAGGACCCTCCTTCTCTACGCTCGCGCTTCAGAATCAAAACCCGGGTGGCCAGCCTCTGAAACAGACAACACTCTTCGTAGGATCCATTTCAGGCGGCGTCACCGACACAACACTCAATGCACTCTTGACCGCGTGTGGGCCAATATCAAGCTTCAAGAGGCTCATCACACCAGCTGGAAAGCCGCGGGGATTTGGATTCGCGGAATTCGAGACAGCGGATGGCGCGCTGTTGGCGCTTGCACTGCCCAATGGAATCGAGCTGCCAGCGCTCGAGGAAGGGTGCGCAAACAAGAAGTTACCAGTATTTCCCTCCTCATCCTTCCCTCTTGCATCTCAAAATGCGCACTAAAGATCGAATCCGAAGAAAAAACGACCACGTTCTTGAACACCTACGCGTCGACACGGCGCGCACCGACCGCAAACTCCCAGACAGCGAAGCAACTCATTGATGCTGTGCTCGACGACCTCTCCCGGGTGGCACAGGCCGCGCTAGGCAGGGAGAAGGAGAAATAAGTCATTCCGCCGCATTTGCACAATCTGCAGGAGGCGGATCTGCCAGAGACGCAGCGCGAGCTGGTCGTGAGCGAGATCGCGTAATTTCGGGAGCGGGCGGCGAAGCAGGAGCGGGAAAAGATGAAGGAACTGGAAATAGAGATGCGGAGCCAAATTGCGGCTTCAGCCGCACCTGCTGCACCGAATCAGTGGGGCGCGGGCTCTGGTGGTGGCGCGGGCGGCGGTGCGCAGACTGGACAGAGAGGCTTGGACCCGGACTCGGAAGCAGGGCGTTCGAGGACGATGCCCAAGGGTATGGCAAACCCATGGAGTTTGTCAAAGGGGCAAGCAGTGCTAGTATACCTACACAGACCGACAAACAAATGGAGGCTGGGAGAAAGGAAGCAAGGAGAAAAGAGGAGGAGCTATCATCCAGAGATGTACGTTAGGGCTGTCGCAGCTTTTACTTCGGCTGACTTCTCACGCAGCAAGACTGTCGATACGAACCGCGAGAACGACAATGGCTGGCTGCACTGGAACGGGCAATTACACAGGATCGTGCGACCAAGTCATCACACGCGCAAGTCAAATCAGACATGTTGAAGCGTCAGGCGTCGTACGACGATGACTCTGACACCGAACAATCGGACCCATACCATGCGGATCGCGGATGCTGGCGGGATTCTTGAGCACACATCCTAGCGCAGAAGGTACGAGACGACGCCACGGATCGAGCAGACGAAGAGAGGGAGAAGTCTGAGCTTGAGCAGGCGAGCAAGATGTTTTTGCAGCAGCAAATGGATGGTTTGCGACGCGGCGAGGAGGAGGCAAGGAAGGCAGGAATGTTGGTGGATAGTGGTGGGCCGGTCAAGCTCAATACGTCATTCGCAGCAGCAGCCCCTACAACCAAGGCTGTGGCCTCAGGAGATGCCCTTGGCTTCAGTGTCGATGACAAAGAGGACGAGGCGCTTACTCCAGACTAGGGTGCCCTGAGCACGCACTGTTCTTTCAGATGCAGACGTAGAGCGGTGCGTCGACTCGTCCCACACAAGATCTCGATGAACCACCTGATGCTCGCTGTCCACCGGTCCTTTCCTCTTGCGTGGGCCTTGTCAGCGTCAGCGCTCGTTGCGGCGCTGCTTCTTGTCGTGGTCCTGCGCATGCCCGTGGGCGTCCCGTCGACGCGGGTCGGCAAGGTCAATATCGGGGTCTCGGTCTCGCCGGAGGACTACACGTCGCTGTGGGGCTGGGTCGTGTTCAGCTGGGTGTTAGGGTTAGGGTGGTTTAGTAGCTGAAACACACAAGAAGAGGGAAGCTGCTGCAGGACAACAGGCTGGTGGGTTATTAGAGAGTGGTCTAGGGTCGATTCCCTAGGCCAGTCCTAACCCCAGGGCTGGGTTACCCTGGGCCAGGGAAGCCCTTTAGGGTTACCCTAGCAGGGGGCACATGACTGGAAAGGTGTGGTGCCGGGTATCTTGGAGGTGACGATGTTATGCGTTGACGCAGCTCATTCAGCCTGAGAGGGGCTGGGTACTCGGTGTCTTGGTGGTGACGATGTTCTGTCAGGCTGTCTCACAAATTAGCATTTGCACGAGACAAGTAAACCGAACTTTCCAAATCGTACCAAATGTGGTCCTACACCAAACAACTTTTGCTATGTACAGCCTGTGCATGGGTCCAATGCACCATGCCCATACCCGCAGTCTTGGGCGTGACGACGTATTTACTGAGAAGGGTCGAACAAAAGATTTCACTCCAAAAAAAAGTTTGTTGGTTGCCAGAAAGCAAAACGTCGTGACGTCCAAGACACCGTGTGGCCGGGTGGTGAAGTCCACATGTTTTTTGCATCACATGACTGACATGTGACATGATCGAATCACATCATCGTAAGCTCCAAGACACCGGGTAGCGAGGCGGTCAGGGTCATGGTCTGACATTGAGGACCATGACATTGAGCGCCTGGTTACCCGGTGTCTTGGAGCCAACGATGATTTGAACGGGTCAAGTTGCCAAACGAGTCAGGTAAAGAGAAGAACAAAGGCAGACGACCAGCCGGACACCCGGTGTCTTGGACGTCACGACATTTTGCTTTCTGGCAACCAACAAACTTTTTTTGATTGAAATCTTTGTTCAACCCTTCTCAGTCAACACGTCGTCACGCCCAAGACTGCGGGTATGGGCATGGTACAACTTGGAGATGACGATGATTCGGGGATACAGGACGCGATTTTCGACAACAACAATTACAAAGTAAGGCGGAAAAAGATTAGGTAATGTCTTGGTCAGCAACCTGTTCACGTGCCATGCAGTGACACTTGGAACAGTGATGTGTGATGTGACTTTGCCTCTTGCTCTTGACCACCACCTTCCTAATCCGTAGTTGTACAGCCTCCGTAAGAGAGTTCGCACACACGTATCGTTTCGATCCCGACGAAAATCTCAGAATGCCTAAAAAACTGACCGCGGCCGAGAAAGCTCAGCGGAAACGAGAGCGAGAAGCGGTAAAAGCTGCTCAGAAAGCGGCCGAGGAAGCGGCGGAGCAAGAAGCCCAGGAAGCGGCTGAGCGAGAAGCCCAGGAAGCGGCGAAGAAAGCAGCCGAGAAAGCGCCCAAGAAAAAGAAGGGAAAAGGGACGCGGCGACCGACGCCCGAGTTCACCGATGACGAAGAGGAACAACCCGCGCCGCCGAAGAAGGGGAAAGGGAAGCGGCGACCGACGCCCGAGTTCACCGATGACGAAGAGGAGCAACCCGCGCCGCCGAAGAAGGGGAAAGGGAAAGGGAAAACCGTCGCACCTGAGCAAGATCCGATCGATGGGGATTTGACGGCGCTGTCCGGTAATGATTTCTCAGTGATGGTGGATATGGCTGATGTGATGCGGCCAGATGACGACGATGAGGGACGGAACGATGTGGGGCTAAGGGCGCCGGTGAAGGTGGTTCGACGGGGTGGGCGGGGAGAGGGCGTGAGCAAACCGCTGGGTGCGCCAGCGCCGCGAAAGATGGTGCAGGGGATGCGCCCGAAACCCCGACGTAAGTGGATTCGATGAGAGAACCTTTCGCTGAAAGTGATCTAGCGAAAAAGAAGACGGCGGCCAACGCGCCGCAAGAAGGGTCATCGATGGATGCGCGGCCTTCAACGCCGCAGCCTGCGCCATCGCAGTTGCCTTCGACGCCGCAGCCTGCACCATCGCAGCTGCCATCGTCGAGTGTCCCTGTGACGCCAGCCACGTCGACTCCGGCACAGGCGGCGAAGGCCGCTGAACCGTCGCAAAGTGAGTGCAAAGTGGTATCGGCACTTGTTCGTTACTGACGCAACGCAGGGAAGAGAAAGGCGAAGCAGCAGCCGGCGGGGCAGGCAGCGAGCAAGAAGCCCAAGGAGTCGGTGGACACGAGTCGGAGTAAGAGCAAGTTGTCGCAGGTTATTGTGATTCTTGCGGCACTCGCGCATCTCGTGCAGCTGTTTCCGGACCTCTTCGACGAATTCGAGGAAGAAGATGGGGAGAAGCAGAAGCCGCAGTTTGTGGAGGACCTGGAGAATCATCAAGTGTATCCGCTCTGGGCTGAGACATGGCCCGGAGGAACGACGTTCACGAAAGAGGAGCACGCGCAGTTGCGGGCGGAGCTGATCGGGGAGGGGCGCAATCTCCTTGTCTGGACGAACAAGGAAGCCAGGGACTTTGACTGGACGCAAGCGCCGGTCTTCGAGCGATTCAGGGATGAGGCGCTAGTCAACAATTGGCACGACACGCACACGGCTCGTGTAAGTGGCAATTAACCGTGGGTCGCCGATGCTTAGGGCTTTGCAGTTCTTGGAGCTCCTGAAACAGTCGAACATGGGGGATCCGGAGGAGGTATTCATGTCGGACTCGTACCAGTTGCAAGATGCGGCAGCGGCGCGAGTCCCGCCGGGAGTAACTCACTACGGCGGGGAGAAGCAACAGATCCTCAACAAGTTGTACCGAGGGTCCGTGGGGCAGATATGGCGGTCGACAAACGCCGAGATGCTCTTCTCGATGCTGTACGAGCGTCATGCGGATGCGCTGCGAGCCAAGGCGGGGCGGTGTATGAGGAGATTGCAGGATCGGTGGAACGACTTTGCGCAGTACCTGCCAACGATGCCGGAGGGAGACGTGCTGGTGGGCAGCGATATCGAGCTGGAGTCGCTTGCGTCGGCCACGCGTGCCGCGGCGGTGTTCCTGAAAGGGTTTGGGTTTGTGCCCATTGAGGGCCCTGATCGACACGTCCTGCGAAGAGTCAACGTCACCGAGAGGAAAGAGCTGGCGGATCAGCTTGACGCACTGCTGAAAGAAGAACCGGCTTCGCGCCGCAATGGGGGACTTGCGCAACCGGCATGGGGTCGGAAGTTGGAGATTGCGGCGCGGACGCTGGGGTATTTAAGCGTGGTGGCTGAGATGAAGGGCAAGGACATGAGTGAACCAGCCGAGGAAATGCAGGCTCTCGCATGTGAGTGATCAAACCTGGTGAACCGTATTTCTAATAGGCTTGACCTTGCGCCTAACGGGCATCTTGGGGGTACCGACGATCTGGCAAATCGTTTGCCAATTTTTCTTTGTTGACTGATTTACCTTGTGCCTCACGGGCATCTTGGGGATACCGACGATCTGCCACATCGTGAATTGGTTTTTTGGTTACTGAGTTACCTTGCGCCCAACGGGCAACTTGGAGGTACCGACGATCCGGCAAATCGTATACCAATTCTTGTTGTCGATTGATTTTACCTTGCGCTCAACGGGCGTCTTGGCGGTACCGACCATTCACTCACCCCGTTCAGACCTCCGCGGCCGCGCTGCAGCCACGGCTTGGGGCGTCGACCCCGAGCTCCTTCGGAACATCGACGCCGCCGCTCTCGACGAAATCGCCCTCCAAGTTTGGGAGGCAGCCGAGTCCGTGAACTTCGACGGGTCGGACGAGGCGGATACCGCCGCAACGACCCTGTTCTCCGGCGAGATCGACGCGACGGCAAAGCTGATGGCCTCTTTCGACAACCCCGCCCATGCCAAATTCGACAAATGGTCTGTAGACCACATGATCGCCTACTGCGGTGGATGGCCCCCCTTCCTCAGAAAGCACTGGGCGCGCGACTACGCGTTGTACAATCACGACGGTAAGGACGTCGAGATTCCCAACGTTACGCAAGAGCTCCGTCCCCACTGGCATCAAGCGGTGGTCTGGGCCGGTTTCTCTCGCGTTTTGGCTCAGCCCGCGCAAACGGCAACCCCGTCAGCAACCAGCGACACGGGACCAGAAGCGACGGCCAGCGGCCCGACGCGCAGATCAGCGTCCGCACTGGCGCGTCCATTGCAAGAAAAATGGAACGAGATTCCTGGATTCATGCTTTGCGATTCGATGGGTCTTGGGAAAACCCTCTCCGCCATCGGCATGATCGCCATCATGCAACAGGCGGCGATGATGACCGAGTCGCCGATGCCTACCGACGCCGAGCCGGAAGAGATGACTAGGGTTAGGGTTAGGGTTAGGGTTAGGGTTAGGGTTAGGGTTAGGGTTAGGGTTAGGGTTAGGGTTAGGGTTAGG